ATACAATATAAAGTCGTACATCCAAACAGGGACCAATTCTCTCTCCCTGAGTTTACTGGGGAGTTCTTTTTACGTATTATGTTTTTCAACACTGATTGTTTGAGCAATTAACTGAAAAAGGCAGTTCCAATATGCGGGTAAAAATAACATTACACATTGCCAATTTGTAACATAGTCGAATGAAACATATCTGAACTAGAGTTCAAATAAGTTCATTTCCCCCATAGAAACCCTGATTCAGAGAATTTATTTTGAAATTTACGTGCTAGTTTTATTCCTAAAATTGCATTATCAATTATAAAATTTGATAATTGATACTTGGGTTTTTCAGAAAGCTTATACACTTTCTTGATACAGAATTTTTTCTTCTTATTCTATAATGTACATGTAAAGTGCATGCAGGTTCCATTAAATTACCAATAAAAATGCATAAACACAAAATATACGAGCTGTTCATGATAGCTCATTGTTTTGCAATTGAGGGACTTTCTTTAACATTCTGAAAATGAAAGGACAATATAAATGATATTTATTTATATATTCTTAATCATTTTTTTTTTTTACTGATGAAGTGTTTTTTGCTAATGTACAGCATTTATTTATCTTACAGGTGAATTAAAATTGTAACTGTACATGAATTCAGAATCAAATTTCACTCTGTAGTCACCTTTTATTCACGAAAGTTTTATTTTCGCGCAACAACGTGAGGCCGTCTACATGTTTGTGAAAATTTCATTTTACCATATAAAAAAAAAGAATTCGTGAAAATTTTGTCTCGCTTATACATACCAAATGACTATATCGTAAAATTGGGGTATCACGAAAATTTTCTGATCTACAATAGAAGGGTCCTCCTTCATAGAAGTGGTCAAATATGCCTTATTAAATACATAAAGCCATGGCTTAGATTGTTTTCAAATTAAACATTCGATAAGTTTTAAACTAAGTTTGATACTATCAGTATTTCCAAAAGTTTATAAAAATAAATCGAGGCTGTATCAGCAAATAGTAAAAAATTGAATTCAAATGTAATACGATATCTCTCTCCAGGTAAAACGTTTTACAACATCTGGAATGCAAATCATCAAAATAAACTCACTGAAGCAGCTTACATCAGGACACCACTATATATGGAATGCCTATATATAGGCATAGCTGATGCCTGACTCCTTACTCGAATTACACTGTCCACATAACATTTTTTGAAAGTTATTGTCAAAAATATCAAGCACTGAATCATAAAGATGTAAAACTGTAAATGTTTGCTGTATCTAAATGCTAATCAAGTTATTCTTTTTAAAGAAAATGTTCTGGAACAGTTATGTTTTCTTGATTTCTTTAGGCAAAATGCTGCACAGAAATGTGCAGAAAGATCTTAATATAATGGACAAATTACGATTCGTGTTTAACTAACCATCTAGGAATTAAATATGGAAATAACGAACCGTATTCAAGCTCATAGTCCAATCTGGAGCAAAACAAACACGGACCTCCAAAAACATCAGAGGCGGGATCAGGTGCCATGGAGGAGTAAGCATCCCCTGTCGACTGGTCACACCTGACGTGTGCTCCTTGTCATGATTGGGTAAAAGGGAAAACCCGTAGAAATGTCAGAGTGTAAATGTTGGCCTAACAATTAGTATGAAAAACGTCAAGTCAGCATTTTACTTAGTGATAGATTGTATTTGGTGATAATGTCATTGTATCGACCATAGAATTTGCAAAATGATGACTTCAAACGAGACTGTTTATATCCTTGTTTCTTCAACTTTTTTATTAATAGCTTGCCTCGTTTTAGAAATTGTTCATGCATATAGCATGCTTTTGCTTATCGAATCAACTGGGAGACATACACCCCATATGCAGGTGATAAGGGTATATTGCTACATAAGTAAGGGAAGTTGATGATAGAAAAGTTGAAGTCATCACGTTTATCATAAAGTTTTGTGGTTAGGATGCCATTAACGTCTTTTTCTAGTGAAATATCCAAATATGAAACAGATGTGTCAGACTCTATGGTGTCTTTTATTTGAAGTTCACCGGGATATATCGAGTCGACATATGAACGGAAGTAACTATTGTTAGTTGATAATACGTCGTCGATATATCTAAATGTCGAGTTGAAGGCCACAGCAAGCGTTAATTTTCTTCTTCTCCTGATCTCCGATCACTGTTAATTAGAAACTCAAGCATCTTTTTAATATCAACTTCGGCGTACGTACTTGTGTGTACAATCAAAATGTTTTTAACAAAATAATTTTGCAAATGACCATTGACAAGGTAAGTATATTTACGAGTTCCATTTTTATTGAAAAAGCAACTGTCGATGACGTCAAAAAGTCGTTCGTTTTAATGTTATTAATTTTGATAAATTTGTGATTTCAAATTTTCTAAAAGTTCCTTGGAGTTTTTAAGTATCCACACGTGATTTACACCACTTCTCGAATATACTTTAAAAATTTGTACGGTACTCTTGAAGTTTCTCCTTCACTACTGTTAATATCTTAGTGAGGAGTACAGACAGAGGTTTGCTAGAACATTTACTGGAACCTGCTATGTATCTTCGTAAGGATTTTATGGAGTTTTGAAATCTAGTATAGGTATGGTAATACAAATTAATTTTGATTGTTGGGAATATTAAAAATATTTAAAACTGACATATGGTTTTGAAGAATTTTATCCTTAGAACGAGAATTGTGAGTATAAGTTGGATTTCCACTTGCAAAGTTAAATCCTAGTTTCTCTAAAATACAATTCAAATACTCGAGCCTTACAAACAAAGACAATGTTGTTACCTGCTTTGTCAGAGGGACCAGTACGTACTGATCGTGTAATCTATCTAATTCTTGTTTCACTTCTGAATTATGTAAGACAGAAGGATAGTTGGTTTTCATGTTGCCCCTCAATCGCTGAATGCGACATTTTAACATCCATCTGATACTTTTGATCCATTCTGACAAAGTCTCAGGAAGCAATCATATTGAATGTCGTTGAATTCAGATTCAAATGATGTACACCCCTAGCTTACTTGTGACTGTCCACTCTGAACTTGTCATCGTGTGCCTCCACATACGATCAATTTAGAATACTTTTACAATACCTGTTTTCTACAAGTTTTGCGTTGATTCTCACAATAAAGAAAATAATGTTTTAAGTAAGAAAAAGGCCCCAAACTCTCCATTCTGTCTGAGAAAGAACTGATCTCTGTCCCATTGGCAGTGTTCTGTGATGTGCAATAAATTGTCGCAACGTTCATTTTTGCCCTGAGCCAAATTTTGTGTGGAAAACGACGTTTTTCTACGATAATCTGGTTTTGTGTTTTTTTTTTTTTTTTTTTTTTTTTGTCGCATTAGTCGAATCATCTTTTGGAATATGATTAGTGTTGTCCTAAAATTGAGCAATAGGTTTTGAAATTTTCTATTTTATTCCATTTTATTATGCCAATTAGGGCCGAAAAAAAAAGTTTTCCTAGATAATCCATGTTCAAAAAGCTCCCATCACATTTTATGTAGTAGCTTTCAAAGCCTCTTTACACATCTTCAGGACACCACAAGTCGTATTCCAACTTCTACAAGATACCACAATTCACATTCAGAATGATGAATTGGCTACTGTTTAAAATGTAAAATGAGTTTGATGAAGAAGATAGTGTGACAAACGGACAGACAGACTGGGATAACATTATACCCAAACTTTCCTCAGAAAGCCTGGATATGATTTAGAAGATTTTAAAACAGTTGCAATTATTCTACCGAATAATGATGAAAAATATTTTCATGAGGGCTTGAAACACAAACCAAAAGGAAACTGAGAAGATAAGAAGTTAAGATGGGATGTTCAGGGTCGATCTGTAGAAATGTTTTGCTTTGTGTTCTCACAATCCAAGATTTTAACCTTTTGAAATATGTAAATGATTTTAGAAATATAAAGTAATTTGTAATATGCTGATTCAAAAAAGAAAGTACACGACAAAATGTAAACCGGACAAGAGAATAAGTTTACATACTGAGTAACTGTAATGCAATAAGTAGCATTTACAGAATGTAATCTGATGTTGAATGGCAAACAAAAAAGCAAACTGTAATTTATTGATTAAAAGTGGAAAAACACGAGGATAATTTATATTAATGTCGAAAAATGTCTATAAATAATGAATTCCAATTTTACTAGAATGTATTTTAATCAAATGCATAAGGTTTGTATAATATTTCTCAATTGCAAAGCAATTTATCAACCTTGTACAATATGTTACTTTTGTATACAAATGGTCCATCAATTTCAGAACATATGTCGTAAAGCTGTTTTAAAATCCTCAGAATTCCATAATTAAATTCTTCCGTTGTTATGTTTTAAATAAGTTTTAAATGTAATATATTTACAATTATTCTTTATAAAATGTACATTCTTATAATAGTATTATATTCAAAGGTTGTATTTTAAAAAGTCGTTAATCTAATGTGCAATATTTCCACGAATTTAATGAAGGAGCTAACAGACTTTCCTGTATTAAAAAGTAAAAATATAAAATTAATATTAAAACGGAATTGCATTCTGTAAAATTTTGCTTTCTGGTTGCATAAAAATATAAATCAAATCTTTGATACATGATAAAATGAAGTTTATAGCCTTTGCAAAATAATTAGAACTAAAATTTTTAACAATATACAAGCACTTGTCAAATGTTTAGTATGTTTTGATTTTTTTTTTTTACAGTTTACAATGAAAGGTCTTAAATTAATGGTAGAATTAGTTGTTGCCTTTTAAAAACAGCATTTGCTGGCTAATGCACAGATTACTGTCTTATTTCAACTTTTTAAAATCTGTAAATCCACTCTTCTGTGATAAGAGAATTATTATATACTAGGATTGTCCATTTTCTACCACCTGTCATCTGAGCTACTAATGAATGCTGTAAGCATCCCTCAATATTTGCTATATTTAAAATTGAAAAATGAATTGATTTTCTCTGTAAGTGTTAACCAATCGTGAAAACATTTCAGGGAACACCGGTTAGTCCATTTGACGAACGACGGTTGTGCCCCGTCTTGGTACAATATCCAGTTCTGTTGATGTCGAGGATTTAATTATGAAATAATGAAGGAGAGGAATTATTAAAAGTGAGCTGATGGTATCGGTGTGACTACGTCAACAGACATAGAAAGACATAGAAATTGATATTTATATTTACATAGGTAAGAATATGTAGTTTTATACCAGTTTTATCCCCTAAAACAGACATTTACAATAATATTGAGTGAATTTAAATTGTCATATTAACAAATTTATTCACAATTATCTTATGTATCAAATTTCGTGATGCATTTAAAATACTAGTATACTAATGTGGAGGTAGATAGTATGTTTGTTAAATTCTAGGAAGCAAGATAAAGATGAGTAAAGATAGGTTAATTAAAAGATAAAGTTAATTATTAAGAGGTCATAAAACTTGTAATTTTTTTTAAATCAGGGAATTTTAAATTCATCTCCCTGCATAAATTCACCAGTCGGACTGCCAGCTCTAAAATTCGTTTTCAAAATATATCATCAAGGGTTCTGAAATCCATTTTATATCATACTCGTAGCAAGAATAATAACTTAATTCTGCAGTTTATTTTTTTTATTTTCATTGTTATAATTGATTTTAGAGCAATATGTTATCGTTTACAAAATTGGTCCAGTTCTAGGTACGTCATCTGCATGATAAACCTCATGGTATTTTTTCTTTACGCTGTTGCAATTATCTTGATGAAAGAGCAAGTTACATGTTTTAAAGTACAGCAAAGGGAAAGTGCGTCATATGTTTTAAGTGTTAATTAATGACGTTGATATTTAAGAATGATGTAACAAGATGGAAGGCTTATACCTTAGCTTTTATGTTACATATTGACTTTTTTAATAAATATTTGAAGTTTTGTCTTAAATAACAGCTTTGTCAAACTTTGTTACTTTGGCACAACGTAATAACTAATCATGAAATTCATTAGGGAAACCATGAGACGTTGAAATGTTTACGTTGAGGAAAAATATCACCTTGTATTGCAAAACTTATCTAAAATTTTCCTTATACAAAAAAGAATTTCAGACAAGATTTCCACAAGAGTATATTTTTATCTTTTTGGAAACAAAAAATGAAAGAGTATTGAATTATCAATCTCCGAATAATATGGAATATTAGTATAGTTCAATGTTGACTTTAGATCCGCTCCAGTTTTAGAGCAGTTTATGTCCATTTGGTCCGGATCGCCTGCATGGCGCAGTGATTAGAGCGTTTGCTCTAGAGTTGCGGAGTAAGGAGTTGATCCTTGCGTCGCGGGTTCAAATCCCACTGCGGGACGTGGAGACCAGTCCTTTGGATGAAACGTATAAACCGAGGTCCGTGTCGCAGTACATGAAGGTGCTGGCACGAAAAAGATCCCTCACTGCTCATTGGTCCTGAGTGCCGAGTGTAGGTATAAAATTTGCAGCCCTCCACCTGCAAGTGGTGGCGTCTCAATATGAGTAAAAAAAATTCTCGAAAGGGACGTTAAACAAAACAACCTACCATTTGATCCCCACTTCGTGCAAATGATAAGAATTTTACAGCTCGGGTTAGAAATCACAATGAATTTAGAAATTTACAGTTTGGGTTAGAAATCACAATGAATTAATCTCTTATTATATTTATCTCGTCAGGGTTATATCGGTTACAGTATCTTCAAGTTTTTTTTAACTATTGATCGTCAAAACGATAAACAGCAGAAGTTACAGTTAGACACGTCCATACATTTAACGAATAAGGATTATATACAATGAGTCTTGAAATAACTAAAAAAAAATTCATAAGATCACATGTATACCAGTTCATGCATCCAATTATTTTCTTGTAGCATGTGTCTTTTAGTATTATTCTTAAAAGTTGTTGTTTTATAAAATCTCATATCATAGTTGTATTATTGAAGTTTCAACATCGCACTATTCCTATTATTAGACAGTTTGCCTTATTATATATTTTAAAGAAAATGCTTACTATGGCCCATTCCTTATTACATGATAAAGATTTAAATTCTTTTACTAGGACGATTTATTTCATATTCACAATTTTGTATTTTATCGTCAAGGCCTTTGCTTTGTTATGATTTTACATATGAATATTGTGAAGTTGATATTAAAAAGATGCCGAAGTTCTTTATTGACAATATCTATGTAGTCTTAAGGAACAATCTGTTAGAATTACGATGGAATTAATTGTGCTCCTTCATTAACTGTTCATACATTTAACTTTTGTTAAAAACTACTACATGAAAAGAAGAAACTCGACATGCCTTTCAATGTAACATTTCGATAATTAGACGACGTTTTTTTTCAATTAACGAGTGTTGTCCGATGAATAACGTACTACTGAAAGTCTTAGAACGCAGCGTTGATTATTTTTAACTCTAGGTAACTTGTCTACGATTTTAAAGGGCAACCTTCGTAGTTTTTTTTATGCAGTTGTCAACGGAATATATCCCAGTGAACTCGAAAGAGTCTCCAACATCTGTTTCATACGTAGATGTTCTGCTAACTATAGATGGCTAACTAACAACTAAACTATGTGTCAAACGGAACCAACTTTCCCTTTGTTATGTACTACTTCTACAATCACGCGTAAATGGCATTTATGTCTCCCAGTTGATTCAATACCCTAGAGCCTGTTCTGAGTACGATTAATTTTTTTAAACAGAAGAAGGCTACTTACAAATAAGTTAATGTTACAGCGGCTTCAACTATCTCGGTTAGAGTCTGCATTTCGCAATAATGACTTTGTTTGCATATACAACCTAACTGAGACCTATTTTTACTGACGTGTTTCATACCAATTGTTAAGCCATTGTTTTAATCGAATTTTGACTACGGATAACAGCGTTTTCCTGATCAATGCAGAGGGCTTACAGCGGGTGTGACAGGTCGACAGAGAATGCACTCTTCCTAAGCACCTGATCCCACCTCCCAGGTTTCCAGGGGTCCGTGTTTCCTCCTGTTCACGATTCGTAATTGTTTACTGGATTTATAAGTTTAATCACTGTTTAGTTATCTTCACCTTTTTCATTACCTATTAAAAATTATATTTTATTATTAGGACCCTTGGTTACCTGTTGGACCCTTATTGGTCATAATTTTATCAAAATGATCCTTACTTTTTACATATTTACAGGTTTGGACGTGAGAGCATGACAGTGAAGGAGGTAGTCTCCCTTAGTAAGGTGTCGGGATGCATCAACAGATGTCGCCAGTCTCGCTACCTCGTCCTTGTCATCGTCTTCATCGCACTCTTCCTCGACAACATGCTACTCTCTGTTGTCGGTCAGTATCAAACAGTCATCAATCTATCAAATAATCAATATCATATCAATCAACCAATCAATAAAAAGCCTGCAGTGCAAACACTGCTTTCTACAAATGACATTCGATTGTTAGCTGGATTGATACGGATTACTCCTAGCTGTGGTCTAATGATATTAATTTGACAACAATTGTAACTGTTTATTTTATACTTTTATGCCTATTTAAAAAGTTGTTAACAAATTAGAAATGTCAACAAAAACACAAGACGTTTTTTAACACAATATGCCTTCTGATGAGAGGTAATGCAGAGAAAGTAACTTTGGTAGCCATTCCATCTGATGGACCTTATGGCAAAAGACAATTTTTTTTTACCCTGAAAACGCTTTATGATATTATATCTCTCTATTAAAAAACCCCAATATATTTGTAATTATTATTTAATTTCAGTTCTCATTATACCAAATACCTATTATCTCTCACCCTAAATGTCTTAATCATCATTCTGTATATCTTAGTGCCCATTATACCAAATTTCTTGCGGAAACTGGAGAGTCCATACGAATATGTGAATAAAACTGTGAACAAAACTGCCCTAGTTACCACGTGTGTTCCCTTGAATGTAACGTTTCAATCAAATATCCAAAGATTCGTCAGTACCTACAACAAAAGATTTAGCTATGCAGAGAGTCCGAACAACATTGACTGCATTAACATAACTGTGAACGAAACAATTCGAGATGTTGATGAGATTCCAATCGAGACTCGACGACATGCAGAATTAGCCAACGAGAATGTAGAAGTTGGTCTGATGTTTGCATCTAAGGCCCTAGTACAACTAATCGCCAATCCTTTTGTGGGACATCTTACAAATAGGTAATGAGAGAGAGTATTCCAATCCCTATCAATTTATTATAGAACTATATTATTTTTAATCCGTTCTTTTCATTTTTGCCAATATGGGAATATAACCCATGAGGTGGAAACTCCCACATCATATACATGTATGTAGCGTAACACAACCTTCAAAGGGTGTATGCTTTGTTTTCTGGTCAGAAAATTATTAAAATAGGAATTGAAGGACATTTGGTAATAAAAAGCCATTGCTAGAAAAGAACTATATCAAATTGACATTTTAATTCAAATTGTTCATCTCCAACTAACATTATTTGTGGTAGGAATGTCTTTGAAGTTGGGGACTGCAATATCGGAAGGTATGTCAATAATTGTAACTGATGCGATATTAACTTTTCCTGCAATTAGTGCAAGGCAATCGATACTGTTTAGAAACATTTACTTTTCGGTTTCAATGTGTACTGCCCATCATTATATCAGATCACCATTTTGCGATCTCTTTTAATCACTGGTATACGTTTAATCAATCCCCGTGATTTTACGCTATCGATATTTTTTATTCCTCCCAATAAGAACTGCGTCGGTGCCTTAATGGTGTAGAAATAATTGTTTGACTGATCATAACTAGGTGCTTTGAAATTTTAGCCATCAGTACATAAAATGTCTTTTAGTAAAAGTCGATTTCATAAGTTATTGAAAGTAGTTCTATCAAAGCGCGGATTAATTTTGTAATCAAGTCACTTTATTGAGTAAAACCGTTTCAATAGAGACCAAGTTCCTCAGTAAATTACATCGACTTCCTGCAGGTTTCTCGTTTAATTGCACTTTAAATTTGTGATGACGATTTGTCCGACGTCCTTCTAATTTAAACATTCTTGGGGGCACAACTTTTAAAGGAAAAACTTTAAGTACTCAATATCAAAGCACTTTACTATTAAAACAAACGACAAAAGGGAGCAGAGTACTACTTACAGCATGCAGTTATTGATAAATTGTGCTTCTTTCACGTTATTGTCCACGTACACTAATTTTAGTACTGACCTCAACTAAGAATTCTATCTACCACAATATTATTTTAAAATTGAAAAAAAGATATAACACTTCAATAAGAATTGGTACCTTGCAGTTTTTGAAACAAATGCTTGTAAGCAGCTTGTTGTAATCTTTACAACTAAAAGTGAAAATGAATTGCTATAAAAATTTGTCTTTCTAAGGTTGAACATGCGATTTAAATATTGCAACCCTGCTACACTTAAAATGATTATGTTCCTGTACATCCCTTTGTAAATCTCTTGATTCCTTTTCCAACCCAACCAAACGTATAGTTCGTTATTATTTTAAACGTTATGTATTTTTTAAAAACCTCTCATTTAATTCTAAGGATGGGGTACATAATAATGACGAGGCCTAAAGACTGTATATTTTGTATCTAGGATTGGATTCACATTTTCCCCATATTTATTTTTTTAGTTATATTTGTTAGATTCCACATTTACATTTACATTTTTTCTCAAATATATTTATAAGATTCAACTAATGCTATATATGGGCGATACAATGACCTTGTTTGCAAATACAATCTGTCTTTAGTCGAATGTTGACTAAAGTCTTTCTAAACAAATTTTCAGGTCATTATTTTCACATTTGTCTACGGACATTTTTTCGTTTGCCCGATAATGACAGGGAGCACACGGCAGGTGTGACCGGTTGATAGGGGATGCTTAATTCTCCATGGCTCCTAATCCCACCTCTGCTGTTTTTAGAGATCCGCGCTGGCTATGCTCACATTTTGTAATGTTTGATTGGACTTTTGAGCATGATTGTTATACATTATCTTTACATTTAATTTATAAGATTCCAAAGCATACAGTTTCTCTTCACTCTATATACGATTCTATTGCGTACCGTCCATTCTATGTATTTTACTTTTAAATAGTTACACTACTCCATCTTTTACCATTTTTAGGTCTTTTTTAATTGTAAAAGATCCCAACTTTAACAGTCCCTGTGTTTCACTTTCAGGGTTGGATACACGATTCCAATGTTTACTGGATTCGTGGTTATGTTTGTGTCTACAGTCAGTAAGTAAAATAGTCTCTATAAATACACTACAAAAGAGTTTGGAACTTTGTGAATGGCATAGCGAGATTTAGAAACAACCAATCTAGAAGAGGCCCATTTCTTTCACAATAACTCTGACTTACAAGAGTAATATATATATATATATATATATATATATATATATATATATATATATATATATATATATATATATATATATATATATATCAGGCATAGTCATACAAACCGAGAAAGTCCCTCTTCTCTCAGTTTGTTAGCAGGATTCTGCAAAACGGTTATTAAGATTTATAACAAAAATATATAACAAAAGGATTTTTTTTTCCTCGGCAGTTTTACAGTTTTGGAGAAATACATGTTTGATACATGTTTTTGGATATTCACCTCTATATGTGTTATTTTTAGTATTTGCTTTTGGGGAAAACTACTGGGTCCTTGTTTTTGCCAGAGCAGTCCAAGGAATTGGTTCTTCCTGCTCAAGTGTCGCAGGTAAATCTGAAAGTAATCATTACTGTGCTAAATGATCATATTAAATCAACTCATGATACATTTATATTAATTGTAAATACGATACACTGTGCATGCAAACGAGATTCTGATTTTTTTTTTTATACTAATGTCTTAGTACAGATACCTTTTTTTAGCCACACACACACACACACACGATCTTTTAACATTTTGTCTTGTACGCTATTTTTAGGAATGGGGATGTTGGCAATGACTTACCCAGATGACAAGGAGAGAGGAAATGCTATGGGTCTGGCCTTAGGTGGTCTAGCTATGGGGGTACTTGGTAAGTTCATGGTCTAATCAATGGGGTATTTGGTAAGTTCATAGCTGGGGTGGCCACAGGGACACTTGTTAAGTTTCTATTTTAGGTGGTCTAGCCATGGGGGTTCTTGATAAGTTCATGGCTTGGGTGGCACTTTGTTTGTCGATTATCCCATTGATATACTTGGATAGTTTATGCCTTATGTGGTCTAGGTGGAGCTAGCCATGGTAGCACTTTATAAGTTAATACTTAATTGGTGTTGATTGGGTGGTTCGAATGATGTGAAAATCGATGTTTTTTGTGGTTTAGATTCAGGTGATTTATTGCATTGTAAACAAACAATTCACTGAGAAATGAGAATATGAAGTAAGTTGTGTGTGACCATTAGAGTGTAAGGTTAGTTTACCATAAAAAAAGAATTTTGTATGTTCAGGCTGTAGATAATCTTAGCATAAAAATAGCTGGTGTTTTGAAGTTTCGGGTGTAATTCATCTGATCTGAGGGAAGTTATGAACTGTATGAATGATCCGTATTTTTACTGCAGAATTTCAACTATAGCATGTCAGATTGATTTTTGAAAACATACGTACAGATTGTTCTGATTCCATATCTTCTTTAGCATATGTTGCAGTTCTTAATGCTTTGAACTTTTTTTTAAATCAGTACCACGATAAGAAAAATTTTGAATTTTTATTCTTCATTTTAGTTTTTATTGTTACTTTACAGTTGGGCCACCATTTGGAGGTATAATGTATGAATTTGCTGGAAAAGAAGCACCTTTTCTCATTCTATCTTCACTTGCCCTACTTGATGGCAGTAAGTAAACTAACCTTAAATATCGAAAACCTAATAAAAGAATATTGAAAATCTCAATTTGTGAAGGAGTAACTTGAACACTTTCTGTTTTCTAGTACTACAGATGTTTATGCTGCAGCCGTCTGTAAAGCCAGAGTCCCAATTAGGAGCCCCGTTATCAGAGCTTCTAAAGGATCCATACATACTTATAGCAGCGGGTATAGTAGTTTTAACAATTTTTGTAGTAGGTAACAAAGAAGATTACAAAAAAATATTTTGTTCAATGGCTCTTGGTTTTGAACGTATCAATTTAAAACAAAAAATGTTTTAACATTTTTACGAGAATCAAATTCTATACATAGCACAGTTTAATCTATTCAAAAATGTTTTTTCAAAAATAAATTTAGGATCCATAACATTTGCTAACATGGGTATTGCGATGATGGAACCCTCCCTGCCGATATGGATGTTTGAGACCATGGGATCTCCAGAATGGCAGCAAGGTATTAAGACGTTCTTATCATAAAGCATTCATTGAGCTCAGATAGTCATTAGGGGGCATTCACAAGGCTCAGATAGTCATACTAAGGGGGCATTCACTAGGCTCAAATAGTCATACCAACAGGGCATTCACTAGGCTCATATAGTCAAATAAGGGGGCATTCACTAGGCTTAGATAGTCATAATAAGGGGGCATTCACTAGGCTCAAATAGTCATACCAACGGGGCATTCACTAGGCTCAAATACTTAGTACTCATAAGGGGTATTCACTAGGCTCAGATAGTGGATTCCATACTATGGGGACATTTTAAACTCATGCATCCATCAAACTCTGCATGAACAAAAATTTAAAAATCATTGTTTCTTTATACTTCGAAAATTCTTAGACAATTTTTGAAAGCTTTATCTTGCAAAGGTTCAATCATGTCTTTATTACGTACATGTATATGTACATTGTTGAAAAATGAAATTTGATTATAAGAATTTATTATTACGAATATTACTAGTTTAAAACATAAAATAAAATCAAAACTGATTTTCTTACTTTAAATGAAAATTTGTTGCATAATTTATGGATGATCAATAAGTAAGAGACGTTTGTTCCAGAGGAATGATATTTTTTTTTACAATAAATTCCGTTCGTTTCAGGTGCTGCCTTTTTACCGGCCAGTATATCATACTTAATAGGAACAAATACTTTTGGTCCACTAGCCCACAAGATGGGGAGGTACGTCCTATATAAATAGTAACACTCCTTATATTATGTAGAAACAGGAAATAAAGATGTTTTATAAAGAATTTCTTAACTTGCACATACTCTATTGCATGGTATGAAATCTTGTTTACTTTCAACAGTTATTTTCAGTCGTGTGGATTTGATTTTTTTTTTCTAATAAAGACCTTTATTAATTTACGTATACTCTTTTGTAGAATATCAATCCCTGCTTATTTTTATAAAGATTTTTTCTATAAGTGTGTTATCAAACTAATGATTATTGAGTTAAAAAAAAGTTTTGTTCTACAGGTGGCTCAGTGCATTAATCGGAATGATTATCATAGGTGTATGCTTAATAGCCGTAAGTGTTTCCGGTTATTTATATATCGATATTTTAATTATCTATAGATATCCTAATTATCTGTCGATAATTCTTGAATGAATCGTATTTATACATCTACTTCTTTCATTTTCAGATTCCATTCTCAAGAAATATATATCATTTGATAGCACCAAATTTTGGACTTGGTTTTGCAATAGGTAAGAAGAACACAGTCAAATTTGTTCATTAAGAATTTCTTTGAACATAATGTTATCATTTAAGATCCTTGTAACCTTACGGAGGAATTCTATATATTGGTACACATGACGGTAATAACTTATGTTCAAAAATGCATTAGTATTTGCCATAAGTGCGTGTTATTTGCTTCTCAACATTAAGTTTTTTGTGCATTTATATACTTTGTTTCATAAACACTGTCAGTTATTGGAGATTTATTTTAAAATACAGAATAAATATGCAAAGGATGAAATACTTCACAATATAATAGGACAATCTTTTTCAGTCATTTTTGGAGAATAGCAGGTGTTGAATAGCGGTTTAGTTTTTAGCTTTATGAAATTCAAATTAAACTGTCTTTTGCATAGTAATTTTGAGAAGGAGATCTGACATTAATATTGAACTGCTTTGAAATGCCTCTAAAGATCCAGGCTCGCGTTTTACAAAAGAATTGACGATTAAATTCAGAAATTACTTTTGCAATTCATCTTATTTTTATGAGAATTTAATTGTGATTTTAATATTGATAAGAACAATTCAATTATGTAATTTTATGAAAGTGGGATCTCACAAAATTATGAAGTTGGTGAGATTTAGAACTATGTGAAAATTTAGACTTTGTCTAAGTTCTTTTGTAATATGCGGTCCTTTTTTAAACATATTTTATCTGATTACCTATATTTACGCAGGTATGGTAGATTCCTCCATGATGCCACACATGGGGTATCTGGTAGATCTACGTCATGTGTCTGTGTATGGTAGTGTGTATGCTATTGCAGACGTCGCCTTTTGCTTAGGATTTGCCTTTGGTAAGAAAAAGACATACTTTATATATAATTATATAATTTTTCATGATTAATGTATGAATTTACACATTTTAGTTTCTTTTTATGTAAAGCAACTACTGAATATTGTAGAATATTTACTGAGTAATTTTTAATTTTAGGTCCTGCAATTAGTGGAACCTTGGTGAAAGAAATAGGATTCAACTGGTAAAAATTTAAACTTTTTTTAAAGCTGTAAATAGAAGGATGTTTTGGAACCAAGGGAACAAATTAAAGAATATAAAGGGCTAAATCGGGCCAATCAAGAGAAATAAAGAGCATATTAATCGTACATAACATTCAACTGATATTTTTAAAAAAATCTTGATACACTATCATGTATACGAATATCAGGTAGTGATGTATTTGTTTACCTGTAGGATGTTGTGGATTATAGCAATAATTAACTTGATGTACTCACCTCTTCTATACTGGATAAGGAGTCCTCCTGGACGAGAAGAGAAAATGGTAAAATATTTATTTTTTCTCAAAATCAATCTTTTTATTCATGAATCATTTTGTTCTGTTTACGAGGTTTTTTTTTTCATTCTCTTGCCTTCAATATGTCTAGGTTCAACATTTTATAGAATTTAGGGATATGTTGTAAAGATCTTAATTCCATTGTAGCTAACATTTTGTAACATTGGAAGAAAAAAGGATGTCTCTTTTGTTCGACTAAAGCAGGAAAAATACGATTGTTATTACTGAATCATAAATCAGTTCCTATCTATATAAATAAGCAGATAATGAAAACTTACTTTGTTTTGACCATAGTTATACTTATTTTTATGGTAGTATGAATTTTTGAAACATGTAAGAAAAATATTCAATACACTTCCCTTGGCTAAAACAAAAAAGAGATATTATATTATATATAAATCTTAGATCTCCATATATAATTTATTATCTATATGATATTTTCCCCTTCAGTCCCTGATTATGAATGACCAATGTCCTGTTCAATATGTCACGTACAATCAGACCGGAAAGAGTTTACCTACTTCCGATGACGAAGACCCGTACGGGAACGACTACTAGAACGCCAGTGTACCACGTGATCTGTATCATTACCCAAAACAATGATACGCCAAATTTTAATGTTTCTGAGCGATTTGGAAATATTGTTGTTAGAAGTTCGCTGAAAGAAAACAATGTCTTTTAATGCTTCCAAACTCATGAATATGCATTAGAATGTTTAAATGATCCGAATGTGTCCATGTTAAACTGTTATATGTAAAGTATATTCATGTATATAAAATGTTATAGAGCATTGTCATTCTTTATTTTCATATAGATATAAACATTTTTTAAAATTTTGTTTATCATGTCGCAAAGTAGATATTTTGCGAAATAATCTGATATACAACTTCAGAAAGAAGAGTTTCATTTTATATAATTTTTAATAGTTACATGTAAATTGAGAAAATAAAACCCATATTTTACCCGGATTTTAAAAACTTTTATCACAATAAGGACGTAATTTTGTGTTCTTATATTCTGTGTAATTGAAGAGCTCCAATATTTGAACGACCTGTGTGCAAAATTTATTATACTTATGATGCTGAAACAAATCAGAGAAAATACCAGTTAAAACTATATGTTGGGTATTTTTCTGCATGTACATCTTTCTTTGAATACACTGTAAGTCAAGGATTTTCAACATTTGAAACCTATTCAAAATCCCTGGTAATGTATGCTGTTTTTGTAGAAGATTGCCTGATGGCATTAAATTGAGATTATCTTGAAAAAAATATCAATGGGTAAGATAAACTGTAAGGTAATATGTTGTGCATAACCTTGAGTAGAGAATTTTGGAGAAATCTTGGAGAATTCTAAGAGACATTGCTATTTTGTAAGGCGGGCTCGATCCGTTTTACCAAAAAAGATCATGACCAACATTTAGTATTAATCTCTAATACTATTTTAGTGCAAAGAACTTAATGTTATTATTACATTTTTACGAAGTAAAATATGTTTTTAAAAGATTGAGAATTCTGAGATGTTGTGGTATTTACTTATAATAAAAAGACAAATTGGATGACTGTATGATTGAGGTCTTACAATGTATACTTAAACTACTAAAGAAAAATGTGATATCGTTTTATTTTATTGTTCATATCTAATTTTTACTTTATCATTTTTAAAATAATGTTACGGTAAATACACTTGTTATTCAAATGCATGTACCACTAGTGAATGTACATTGAGCAAGCAAGGGTAACGAAAGATGACATGTACACGTAGAATAAAGGGTTGACATGAAGTTAGAGAATATTTAAAAAAAAACATACGTAACAGATATTACGAGGGTCAAAATAGGTGATAAAAATGACCTATTTTATGCAGAAACTTGCATTTTATACAAATGACAATGATACAATGTTAAAATAATTGTCACGTGATTTGTTGACATAGACTCTATATAATATCATCTGTATATTCCTGTTGTCTCGGTGCTAATTACCTGTTGTAGACTAATTAGCCTTAATTAAATATACTGCAGATAAGAATTGAGAGTTCCTTTGTTTATTAATTAATGGTATCGTATGTAAGGGATACAAGACGAAGATGGTCTAATATGTAAGGTATGGGACTGGGACGAGGTGCGAAGCACTGAGACATATATTGTCAACAAATAAATGGAAGAAACTATAATTGCTTAGTGATAAACGTCGTCGAATAAGGAGACATAATCACTAGATCAGCTGTAATGGCACTTGCACCGTTAACAACACATATACTAGTATCACTGTACTATTCTGTGTGACTCTGGTTGGAAATGTAAACAGATGTAAACAGTCTGGTCTGACCGTCCTCTTGGTACTCATACTCGTGGATGACGTCACCTGTCACTGTGATGTGTCTCACCAGACGTCTGCTGTGTGAGTCTTACTTGTAACGATCTGATTTCTTGCCTCTCAAGGTGACCAGTTGTCCACCGTCCACTGTCTGACAGATTCCCCATGGTACCAGAGGATCTGTACAGATGACTATAGAGGCAGATCCTGATGGTGACAGACAACTGATGGAATTGTTACTATAATCAGTGAAATAAACATCACCATCATCAGTCACACATATTTTTCAATTTCTGTGCCTTCTTTTGAAACTTTTTCTATATATTTGAATTATCTTTAATTTAACGTTGGTCTTCACTGAACTATTTCCATATTGAAATGAGTTTATGTGAGTCACACCCATATCATCTATATCCAAAGTGTAGCTAACAGAAGACTCGAGAAAGTCATCATTGGTTTCACCTCTAATGTACCTCACAGAATGACCACAGTTTGTCATATGAACCTCCAATTCAGACAGCATTTTTGTCAGTTCTCTGTGGATGTCAATCAAGCCGTAATCTGACATGGTGCTGTTGTTCTCCTCTATGAATTCCACTGTGTCAACATTTCCTTTCTTTTTGTGAAAAAGGTGAAGATAACGAACAATGATCGATCAAAAAAAAATCTTCAAACAATACATATCTATGAACACTGCGTAAAATACGGACCCACGGAAATTCCAGAGGTGGGATCAGGTGCCTTGGAAGAGTAAGCATCCCCTGTTGATTAGTCACACCCGCTGGGAACCCTGTATTGATCAGATAGACGGAATATTCCGTAGTCAAAATTAGTATCTTATCAAAGTCCTAACAATTGATATGAAACACGTCAGCAAGAATACGACCCAATGACAGGTAATATTTGCTAAGAAGGTCATAAAACAAAGAGATATTAGGACACATCTCATAAAATAAAACAGAATTGATAGAATTTTCCGATATTATTTGGAATTTTTTTTTACTAATCATAAATGTATAAACTTTCAGAAAATTACAAGTTTCGTGATTAATTCATTAAAATTAATGATTATTTATATATGTGTTAGGGGTTCCACATTCCATGCTATTCACGCATGCGTACTTCTCATAAACAAAACAGCATGGTAAAAGAGGGTAGCACGGTAGGCCTGCTACCTAAACAAAGTAGACCAAGAAGAAAAAGAAACTGAAAATAGAACTTTAAAAAGCAAATTTCCTGACCAATTAAATTTTAGTGGGGGATTAATATAATCGTTTGACGAGGAAGAAACGGGATCTCAGCGACACTCACATGTTATCATTTCTCATATCTCTATCGCTTTTTTCAAGAAAAAATATGTATAACTCAACATAAAATACATCTATGATATATAAATTTTAATGGAACTGTCCTGAAATATTTTTGACGTTTTGCGATTCGTAGGATTAGATGGTTTTCCCTTCTTGGACCCCAATACACAAAACGTCAACATTTGTACTTTTAATTCTTTAAAATTCGTCTGAAAGCAGATTAAAATGTTCACGATTAATAATTTATCGGAAAAGTTGTAATATTTTGCTTTCAAAAATTGCTCTTACCTCATATTCGATTATAATTGTAAACTCTACAGTTCAGGCATGTACCATTCAGAATTCACGTGGGATAAATAAACAGATCTTACATTGCTCCGCTTTGTATAGTATGACCCTTGGATTTCTGGCAGATTCTAACTACTAGTACGTTAATTTTGTTTGACGAGAGAATATTCATGTTTCTCAAACTGTTGACACCAACTTTATACCTTATTTCTTAATGTATATTGGATAAATTTGCATGAAAAAAAAAAAAAACAGGTTTTGCAGCCGTACTGTCGCTTTGACGAAATGCTGACTTTAAACAATTTTGTTGAAATCCCTGTAACATCAATTTATCTGTCAGTAGTCTGCCTCGGTTTAAAAATTGATAGTGCTCAAAGCATGCTTTTGAGTATCGAATAAGTTGGGAGACGTAAACACCATATGCAGGTGATAGCGGAATATTACTACATAAATAAAGAAGGTTGACGATGGAAAAGCTGAAGTCATCACGTTTGTCATAAAATTTAGTTGCCCTTACCGTCTATAGTCAGTAAAACATCCATATATGAAACGGATGTGGCAAACTCTGCGGTGTCTTCTCTGGGATATATCGAGTCCATTTACGAATAGAAGTAACTATTGTAAATTGATAAAACGTCGTCGATATATTGAATGTTAAGTTAAAGGCCACAGCAACTGTCTTCTTCTCATGTACAAGTTTTTGAGAGAGAAAAAATCTGCTTCATAGTTTGTTGGAAGATATAATCTCCAAAAACTACGCAGATATATGTTAAGGAGGAACTCCAGCATCCTTTTAACATCAACTTCAGAGTACTTCTGTGAAGAATCAGAGAGATTTTTAACAAAGTAATTTTGTTGATGACCAATCAGGCCCGTAGGAAGCAATTTCAGTTTGGGGGGCACAGCCGGACATTTTCAGTTGAGGGGGTACTATCAACTACCAAAAATTCCTTGACAAGCAAAAAAAAAAAAAAAAAAAAAAAAAAAAAGGTCATCAGACGTTTTAAGTGAGGGGGCACAAGCATATAGCAGCTATGTTTTCTATAGTAATCTATATATCGGCAAAATTATTGGGGGGGCACCCCCCCCCCCCGGTTCCTACGGCCATGCCAATCACAAGATATGAAAATTCCCGAGTTCCATTTTAATTGAAAAAGCAGTTGTCCATGATATCAAAAAAGCCTAGTTTTTAATATATCGTTGGGAATGGCTGTATAAAGTGTTGAGAGTACATACACGTACGTTTCGTTGTTACTAACTTTTGAAAAAAATTGTGATTTTTAATTTAAATAAAAATAAATTAAATAAAAGTTCTTTGGAGTTTTTGAGAATCCACATTCATTTGATTTACACCACCGTGAACACCACTTCTAGAATATGCTGTAGCACAGTACGTCTGAAGTTTCTCCTTAACAGCAGTAATATTTTTGTGAGGAGTAAAGATAGGTGCTTGGTAGAACATTTGCTGAATCCGGAAATGAATCTTTGTAAGAATTTTTATGAAGTTTAGAAATCCAGTATAAGTAGGATGGATCGAAGTCACCTTCGTTGACTGGAATGTTATAAAAGTATTCAAGACTGAAATTTGATTTTGAAGAATGTCATCCTTAGAAACGGAACCGTGAGTACTGTAGATTCCTAAATATACGCTAGGAATAAATTATCGAGTAATTACGCGAGAAGCACCACTCGCGAAATAAAATTACTCAATTTTATTTTTATGGTGCTTTAAAGTATGTAAAATCTCTAGATAAATCACCCATTCGCAAATTATTTTTCTCGCGATTTGACGCCCTTTAGCCATTTCGCGATATTAAGTACTCGCGTAAAATAAGGAATCTACAGTATAAGTAGGGTTTCCAGATGTAGAATTAAAACCAATTTTTTTTTAAAATGCATTTATAATAATGAGCCTTACAAACAAAGACGATATTGTTATAAGACTTGTCTGCTGAATCCATTACATTTTGTTCATGTAATCTTTCTATTTTCTGATTAATCACATCTTGCGTTTGCGTCTTTGTTTAGTGCCAATATATTTATTTCCAAAAATGTGCATGTAATCAGTTCACAAAAGCAGTTTAGGTTAAAATTCTTTTGAGCTGTATTGTCGTCCCTGTAAAATGGCGCTAAAACTGTAACATTAATATGAGTATAGTCAGATAATTTCCCATGTCGACTTAATATATTACTCCTTTGAGCAAAATTCCTCCAGTAGAGTATCCTACCTACAGTCCAGATTTGTGTAGGAAAGTGAAATTGGAACGTTCACTTCATTCTCTGTCAGCAAGAACTTTAAGAAACTCCCTGTAAAGACTCAGAAGATAAATCCGGTGGTTAAAAATTTCAGTAGCGAGAACGTTACAGAACGATTTATACATCAGTTGGACGAAAGTCCTCTGTCAGTTTCTGTCCATGGCAGACTTCATACTACCAGCTGCAGAGGGAGACATAATCTCTATATAACCTGATGTTTTACTTGTAAAGTTCACGGACATCATTGTTACTGTTCTCTGTGACTCTGTATGGCATAGTAAACAGTCTGGTCTGAACGTCCTCCTGGTACTCATACTCATGGATGACGTCACCTGTCACTGTGATGTGTGACATAATTTGTAAAGATCTGATTCTTTATCTGTCAAGGTGACCAGTAGTCCACCGTCCACTGACTTACAAATTCCTAATGGTGTCAGTGGATCTGTACTGATGACTGTAGAGGCAGATCATGATGGTGACAGACAGCTGATGGACTTGTTTCCAACATCAATGAAATGAAAATTACTGTTATTTGTCACACATCTGTCATCATAAGGAAAGATACCGTTTTTTTCTAGGCCATAACTATTAAACGGTTGGTGATAGGACTTTCATATTTCACATTTGTATAAATTTCTTGTGACAAGACCTTTCTGTGGGTACCAAAATTTTGACCTCATGGCCTTTTACAAAAACATTCTGAACAGTTGGTGCTAGGGCTGCCATATTTCACATGCAATCCTTGTGACAAGACCTTTCTTTGGGTACCAACGTTTGACCTCCTGACCTTGTCCTGGGTTTGAAAGATTACTATTAACAAAATGGCTGTGTCGATTTCAGCATGTTTAATACTGCATCAAGTGTGAATAAAAATTTCTTCACAGAAAGCCAAATGCAATTTGCACAACCAAAAGATTTGCATCCCTATTGTTCATTTTAATTGTGCATTCTCCAAACAGCTAAGAGCACTTCATATACATGTATAAATATTTTATGTAATTTTTAGTAATCAAAGCCATCAAAAAACTGTGAAAAATAAGGAAAAAAAAGATATTTTGTGCAATTCTCAATAAAGTCTAATAGTAAATAAAATTGCAGACTTAATCAGCAGAACATTTTCTCCTTCTTATTTACATTGTAAAATGTTTTATGTATGCAAACTAACCAATACTCGCATTGTTGGATGATTAACTAGGTACTCATTGACAACACTAATATAAATACAGGAGATAACACTGAATAAAGTGAATGTCAAACTTTAATAGCGCTAGACATCATGCCTTTATTTTTACAAGTAATAAAAATTTGACAATGTTTTCACTTAAATTCAGTCAAAAAGAAAATTTATCTATCACATTCAAAGCAAATTGATAATGATATTTAATTAATATTAGTACATAAGATACATGATTTTTACATCTATGTGTTCAAATTTGGTTCCCTCTTCCCAACGTTTTATCATCTCATTTACATCAGAATCATATAACAGATTCAAAATAAACTGAACACAGAATTACATGAACATAATCATTGTTAAGCTTTTGACAGTTCAACACATCATCTATAATAAATAGTAAATGGGTTTCAATGGTCTTTAAATTATAGTCTTCCGTCACAAGTTTCCATGACAACATAATAACTCCAGCTGTTCCAGTAACAAGTATTACTCCCTCCTCAGTAGCGAACAGTGGTCCATCCATCATCTTCAGCTCCAGGGCCCCTTTTGGCTGTAGAAGAAATACATTTTACAGAATACTATCAATGACTCACCTAAATTTGTTTTAAATTTTCTCTTCATTGCAACAAAACGTATAATCATTTTGCATTCATGGAATTGTAAGACAACCCCATTTCTAACATTAATAAGAGATTTCTGGATTTGCTCTTATTTATGACACCACATACCTCCACTGTCGGACTGTTTATCTCTTCAGATTTTTCCTCCTTCACGACCTGATGGAGCTTCAAAAGATAATGACCAAATTCACCAACATGCTGCTAGATAGACATGTATCCATAAAGGTGTTAAGTATCATTAACTTTTGTATTTAGAAGTGAATTATTTTCCACAAAAGCAAATCAATCCTTTTGCTCAACGTCTCAACAGTGTTTCCTTAATAGATACTTTTCTCATTCTCCACCAGATACCCCAGTGAATCTCCATGTATAAATTTTAAGTTTGCTTTGACAATCTGACTTTCACAGTATACATTCTATCTGTCATTACCATACTGTCAGTTTGCATTGTTATCTTAAGGCATGGATTAATCTAATCAATGGTCTTACATACAACCATAACTGACTGACCTCTTCTAGAGTCCTCTCGTCTGTCATCTCTGGCCGGCCCCGTGTCCTCTCGTCCCCTCCAGCCGTCCCTGTCTTTATCCCCGGCTCTGTCCCTCCAGCCTTCTCCTCCACTTCTACCATCCCCTCTCCATGCTCCCCCTCCTCTCTCCTCTCCCTCATCGTTACGTCTGTCTCTCCACGATTCACCTCCTCGGCGGTCATCTCCAAATCTATCATCACGTCCTCCTCCTCTTCCCCAATCATCCCTTGGTGGAGCTCTGTCTGAGAATCCCTCTCGATCCCTGTCTGATCTCCAGCGATCCTCTCTAGGTGGAGCTCTCCTGTCACCAAAGTCTCGATCTCTGTCATCTCTAGCAGGTGGACGACGATCATAATCATCTCTACGACGATCACCAATGTCACGATCAATGTCACCAATGTCACGATCATCTCTACGACCAAAGTCACGTTCATCTCTCCTTCCAAAATCTCTATCTTTATCATCTCTCCTTCCAAAATCTCTGTCTCTGTCATCCCTTCTACCGAAATCCCTATCATCTCTTCTACCAAAGTCTCTATCGTCCCTTCTTCTAAATTCTCTATAGTCTCTTCGTCCAAAATCTCTATCATCCTTTCTACCAAAATCACGATCATCTTTTCTGCGATCTCCAAATCCACCATAATCACCTCCATAACTTGAAGGACCTCTATCATCACCCATGCCACCTCTCCACCAGTACTAAAACACTGACACAAGTCCTTCAAGGCATCCTACCCACAGCGTAGTCTTGTGCAGAGACAGTTCAAACGGACCAATTACTTCATTTTCTTTCAATAAGAACTTCAAGAACTCCCCTACAGGACTCAGCAGATGAATTTGATTGTTAAAGGGATCACTAACAAGGATGTTACAGAAGGAGTCACATACTGCATTACCTGGGCTAAAGTTTTTAGTCAGGTTCTGTCCACGGTAGACAGACTTTATTTGACCAGAGGGAGACATAACCACTAGATTACCTGTAGTGTCACTTGTACGGTTCACAACACAGATATCACTATTATTGTTTTGTGTGACTCTGGCTGGCCATGTAAACAGTCTGGTCTGACCGTCCTCCTGGTACTCATACTCATGGAAGACATCACCTGTCAATGTGATGTGTCTCACCAGACGTCTGCTGTGTGACTCTAAGTTGTAGGCATCCGATTCCTTGTCCCTCAGGGTGACCAATAATCCACTGTCCACTGGCTGACAGATTCCTCCTGGTACAAGTGGATCTGTACTGATGATTGTAGAGACAGATCCTGATGGTGACAGACATCTGATGGACTTGTTACTACTATCAGTGAAATAAACGTTACTGTTATCATTCACAGATATGTCACTGGGAGTAATAGTAAACTTACGGTGTTTTGAACCTTGTTTGTCGACCACCTCTGTATATTCTGATTCATAATATTTTACGTAACACTGGTCTTCACTTAGTGTTTCTAAAATGAGTTTTAAATTATCTGCATATTGAAATGAGTTTATTCGAGTCAAGTTAATATCATTTAAATCCAAACACTTTACAAACAAAGATTCAAGTAAGACATCATTGATTTCCCCTCTAGTGAACCTCACTGAATGTTGACAGTTTGTCATATGAACCTCCAATTCAGACAGCATTTTTGTCAGCTCGATGTGGTTGTCAATCAAGCTGTAATCTGACATGGTGCTGTTGTTCTCCTCCATAAATTCCACTGTGTGAGCAATTCCTTTTTTCTTCTTCTCTAACTCAGATTTCATAAGGTTCAATTGATTATATTTTTTAACCAAGTTCTCTATCAGTGTTTTTTCATAGTGAATTTTTATTTCTGCCAACCTGGCCATTATCTCTTCAAAATGCTTCTGTAGCTTCTTAATCTCAGAGTCACATTGTTCTTTATTTTCTTTGATTTGTTTTGACACCTTCTCTATCTTCTCATCAATTCCAGGCAGATCCTCTTCCTTGACCTTTTTCAGAAATTTAAATAGACCTCTCCTCCTCAGGCTACCTGCCGTGGGTATAGTTTTCCAATCATGATCTCTATGATCTGTTTTGACACAATTAGCACAAATAAATTTAACACAGTCTTCACATATTATATCAATAGGTAATTCATGGGATTCACACATTTCAATGTGCTCTTGCAGAGAGCCCAATAGGTATTTTTTTGGCATACCGGCAGCCATGTTTACTGGGTTATATCTACCTATAAGTGTGCATGCTAGATAACAACAAAGACTGTAAATTGGGATTAAAAATATCCTTTATGAACAACTATCTCTGAAATGTAAACATACAGGTATATTATGATATTTACATGAGATATTTATTTAACTAAAAAAAATTGATAATGAGGACTTGGTTTTAGTACAATTTAACAGATGTACTAAAAAGGGCTGAAAATCAGTTTTAAAATAAATATGAAAAATCCTGTCATTTTCATAGATCCTGTTTAGTTAACCTCAAAGAATCTGGGGGAAATAGTATATGCATATGCATACAAAACGATAGATAAAAAAAATTGGAAAAAATATTTCCCACAAATTCCACTTTTTATTTAATTTATGAAATATTTACAACCATATGCATACATGTACAATATTGACAATATCTGAAAACATTGACTGCAAAATTAATTATGATAACACACAAAATGGCAAAAATAATGTCGACCATCACGGTAGCTCATTCGGTAGAGCGCTCTCTCCGTGATCGGAAGATTATAGGTTCAAACCCTGGCAGCGACTGACCTACGTCGGAAAAAAATAGGTTACAACTGTTCCTTCCCCAAGCGCTCGGCACCTTGAAGTAAAAGTTACGGGTCGTTCGGATGAGACCTTAAAAACCAAGGCCCCGTGACTTAAAACGAAACACGGATGCACATTCCTGGTCCCTTTAGCTTTCTTAAAAATATAGTGAAATTTTTATAGTGATTTCAATACTCCTGCTCGATCGTTTAATACATGGGATGCGCCATTTGGGAAAAAACATAGAATTGTCTACTTTTTGATACAGTCCATGTATATTGAAATCCTCCTATGCAAATGTATTAAGAAAGTTTAGTTGGAACTTACCAGACTCCCCACCCAATTTATTTATTTGAGTGCGATTAATAATCGCGAGTTTCGCGACCTACTTATCCTCGGGAATATTAATCGCCGAGAACCAATTTTTTTGCTTTGTATTTATAGAAAATGTTTCCTCAGTCGCAAAAATTCATTATTGCGTATTGATTTCAAATTGACAATTCGCGAATAAAAGATGACGCGAATGATAGTTGGTTTACAGTATATAATTTTCAAAAATACTCTAAAGCGCGTAACATAGGTACATGAAATATAAATTAAATATTGGAATATTTGCTGTAAAATGTAGCAATGAACAAAAGGCCCAAGGGCCTTACCGGTCACTGAGTACAATACAACAATGTAAAGGATCCACTGAAGTATGAAATAAAACAAAATAAACTAATAGAGATATGTTGTCCCAAAGCAAGAGAAAAAGGATAATCTGGGATCAACAAAATAGTTATAATGTAGTCTAGTTCTCAGTAATAAATCATAAAGTAGAGATATTTACTTGCCAGTACTTATATACTCTCTTCTGTCACTGTCATGATGCAGATTAAACAATTATATAGTGCTTGAGAACATACCATTTCATCACACATTGACCTCTCTTGGTCTTGAAGAATATATGGTGTATGAAGATAATGTATTTTTGTCTCATTTCTACATATCTATTATTTACAAGTCTACCTGTCCATTAAAAACAACGAGAGTACTTTTGAATTATACATTAAAATTTTTTGTTTAATTCTTTATTCAATTTGACCTATTTGCAGTAATCAATAATCATAAGTAAATAGCAAAGGGGAATAACTTCTCTCAGAAGAGTACAAATTCTCCTATCAATAGAGCCCTGTCCAGCACCAGAACACTTAATCAATTGGTAAAGAATTTCACAAATCTGTTAAAACACACCCTTGATCATTACAACTAAGATTTTCAAAGAATTTATGCATTTTCACTGTCCCCACCCTAACACCAGAACCCCTGACTCTTTGGCCATGAATTTCACAATTTTGGAAGAAGCAACCTTCTTCAATATAACCATGCACATACTTTGTTTGCTTGTTTGATAAATACCTAGGGGCAGAAAAGAAGATTTTTAAAGAAATTTTGTATTTCAATGAAGCCCCTCTCTCTTGCGGACAAACAGACAAACAGACAGACAGACGGACGGACGGACAGGGCAAAAACTATATAACCCCGAATCTTCGATACGGGGGCATAAAAATCAGTGGAAACTCAACATAAAAATACACCCATGATATATTTATCATTTAAAGTGCCAATTTTAATGAAACTGTCCTGAAATATTTTCTGATTTTGCGATACGAACGATAACGTACGATATGGTGGTTTTCCCTTCTTGGACCCCAATACACAAAACGTCAACATTTGTACTTTTAATTCTTTAAAATTCGTCTGAAAGCAGATTAAAATGTTCATGATTAATAATTTATCGGAAAAGTTATGATATTTTGCTTTTAAAAACTGCTATTACCTCATATTCAATTATAATTTTTAAACTCTACAGTTAAGGCACGTGCCATTCAGAATTCACGTGGTACAAATAAACAGATCTAACATTGCTCCGGTTTGCATGACCCTTGAATTTCCGGCAGATTCTAATTACGTTAATTTTGTTTTACGAGAGAATATACATGTGTCTCAAACTGTTGACACCAACTTTTTTTCATTATATTTCTTAATGATATATTGGGTAAATTTGAATGAAAAAAACATACGTTTTGCAGCCGTACTGTCGCTTTAACGAAATGCTGACTTTAAAGTTTTTGTTTTGGTTTTGTTGAAATCCCTGTAACATCAACTTATCTGTCAGTGGTCTGCCTCGGTTTAAAAATTGATAGTGCTCAGAGGCATGCTTTTTAGTATCGTACATGTATAAGTTTGGTGACGTAAACACTATATGCAGGTGATAGCGGAATAAGGAGATATGACGATGGAAAAGCTGAAGCCATCGCGTTTGTTATAAAATTAAGTTGCCCTTATCGTCTACAGTCAGTAAAACATCCAAAAATGAAACATATGTGGCAGACTCTGTGGTGTCTTTTTACATCTATAGTTCACTGGCATATCGAGTAGACATACAAATAGAAGTAACAATTGTAAATTAATAAAACGCCGTAGATATAATGAATGTTCAGTTGAAGGCCACAGCAAGCGTTTTCTTCTTCTCATGTACAAGTTTTTAAGAAAAAAAACTCTTCTTCCTAGGTTGGAAGATATAGTCTCCAAAAACTAAGCAGACCTTGTCAATGAGGAACTTCAGCATCCTTTTAACATCAACTTCAGAGTAAATGTGTGTAGAGTCAGGGAGATTTTTAACAAAGTAATTTTGTTGATGACCAATTTCAAGATATGAAAATTCCCGAGTTCCATTTTTATTGAAGAAGTAGTTGTCCATATGATATCAAAAAACCTAGTTTTTAATTTATCGTGAGGAATGGTTGTATAAAGTGTAGAGAGTTGTACGTTTCGATATTACTAACTTTTGAAAAAAAATTGACTTTGAATTTTCTAAAAGTTCTTTGGAGTTTTTGAGAATCCACATCTGATTTACACTTCTAGAATATACTGTAGCACGTACAGTAGGTCTGAAGTTTCTCATTAATAGCAGTAATAATTTTGTGAGGAGTAAAGATAGGTGCTTGGTATAGAACATTTGCTGAATTCGGCAATGAATCTTTGTAAGAATTTTTTTTTATGAAGTTACGGAATCCAGTATAAGTGGGGTGGATCGAAGTCACCTTCGGTGACTTGAATATTAAAAGTATTCGAGACTGAAATTTGATTTTGAAAAAATTCATACTTAAAAATGGAACAGTGAGTATAAGTAGGATTTCCAGATGTAGAATTAAAACCAAGTTATTCTAAAATACAGTTATAATAATGAGCCTTACAAACAAAGACGATATTGTTATAAGACTTGTCTGCTGAATCCATTACATTTTGTTCATGTAATCTTTCTAATTTCTGATTAATCACATCTTGCGTTTGCGTCTTTCTTTAGTGCCAATATATTTATTTCCAAAAATGTGCATGTAATCAGTTCACAAAAGCATGTTAGGTTAACAATTCTTTTGAGCTGTATTGTCGTCCCTGTAAAATGGCGCTAAAACTGTAACATTAATATGAGTATAGTCAGATAATTTCCCATGTCGGTGTAATACCAGGTATATTACTCCTTTGAGCAAAATTCCTCCAGTAGAGTATCCTACCTACAGTCCTGATTTGTGTAGGAAAGTGAAATTGGAACGTTCACTTCATTCTCTGTCAGCAAGAACTTTAAGAAACTCCCTGTAAAGACTCAGAAGATAAATCCGGTGGTTAAAAATTTCAGTAGCGAGAACGTTACAGAACGATTTATACATCAGTTGGACGAAAGTCCTCTGTCAGTTTCTGTCCATGGCAGACTTCATACTACCAGCTGCAGAGGGAGACATAATCTCTATATAACCTGATGTTTTACTTGTAAAGTTCACGGATATCATTGTTACCGTTCTCTGTGACTCTGTATGGCATAGTAAACAGTCTGGTCTGACAGTCCTCCTGGTACTCATACTCATGGATGACATCACCTGTCACCGTGATGTGTCTCACCAGACTGTGTGACTCTAATTTGTAAAGATCTGATTCCTTGTCTATTAAGGTGACCAGTAGTCCACCGTCTACTGACTGACAAATTCCTACTGGTACCAGTGGATCTGTACTGATGACTGTAGAGACAGATGCTGATGGTGACAGACAGCTGATGGACTTGTTTCCAACATTAATGAAATGAAAATTACTGTTATTTGTCACACATCTGTCATCATAAGGAAAGATACCGTTTTTTTCTAGGCCATAACTATTAAACGATTGGTGATAGGACTTTCATATTTCACATTTATATAAATTTCTTGAGACAAGACCTTTCTGTGGGTACCAAAATTTTGACCTCATGACCTTTTAAAAAAACATTCTGAACAGTTGGTGCTAGGGCTGCCATATTTCACATGCAATCCTTGTGACAAGACCTTTCTGTGGGTACCAACGTTTGACCTCCTGACCTTGTCCTGGGTTTGAAAGATTACTATTAACAAAATGGCTGTGTCGATTTCTGCATTGCTCAATATTGCATCAAGTATGAATAAAAATTTCTACACAGAAAGCCAAGTGCAATTTGCACAACCAAAAGATTTGCATCCCTATTGTTCATTTTAATTGTGCATTCTCCAAACAGCTAAGAGCACTTCATATACATGTATAAATATTTTATGTAATTTTTAGTAATCAAAGCCATCAGAATAAGTGTGAAAAATAACAAAAAAAAGGTCATATTTTGTGCAATGCTCAATAAAGTCTAATAGTAAATATAATTGCAGACTTAATCAGCAGAACATTTTCTCCTTCTTATTTACATTGTAAAATGTTTTATGTAAGCAAACTAACCAATACTTGCATTGTTCGACAATTAACCAGGTACTCATTGACAACACTAATATAAATACCGGAGATAACACTGAATAAAGTAAATGTCAAACTTTAATAGCACTAGACATCATGCATTTATTTTTACAAGTAATAAAAATTTGACAATGTTTTCACTTAAATTCAGTCAAAAAGAAAATTTATCTATCACATTCAAAGCAAATTGATAATGATATTTAATTAATATTAGTACACAGGATACATGATTTTTACATCTATGTGTTCAAATGTGGTTCCCTCTTCCCAACGTTTTATCATCTCATTTACACCAGAATCATATAACAGATTCAAAATAAACTGAACACAGAATTACATAAACATGATCATTGTTAAGCTTTTGACAGCTCAACACATTATTATAATAAATAGTAAATGGGTTTTAATGGTCTTTAAATTATAGTCTTCCATCACAAGTTTCCATGACAACATAATAACTCCAGCTGTTCCAGTAACAAGTTTTACTCCCTCCTCAGTAGCGAACAGTGGTCCATCCGTCATCTTCATCTCCAGGCCCTCTTTTGGCTGTAGAAGAAATACATAATACAGAATACTGTCAACCACTCACCTAAATTTGTTTTAAATTTTCTCTTCAATCGAACAAAATGTATAATCATTTTCTGTATATGGGGAATTGTACAACAACCTTTATCTCTAACATAAGTGAGAGTTTTCTAGATTTCCTCTTATTTAAGGCACAACATACCTCCACTGTCGGACTGTTTATCTCTCCAGCTTTTTCCTCCTTCACGACCTGATGGGGTGTCACCTACAAAAGATAATGACCAAATTCACCAACATGCTGCTAGATAGACATGTATCCATAAAGGTGTTGAGTATAATTAACTTTTGTATTTTAGAAGTGAATTATTTTCCACACAAGCAAATCAATACTTTTTGCTCAACATCTCAACAGTGTTTCCTCAATAGACACTTTTCTCATTCTCTACCAGATATCCCAGTTTATCTCCATGAATAAATTTTAAGTTTCCTTTGCCAATCTGACTTTCACAGTACACATTCTGTCTGTCATTACCATACTGTCAGTTTGCCATTGTTATCTTAAGGCATGGATTAATCTAATCAATGGTCTTACATACAACCATAACTGACTGACCTCTTCTAGAGTCCTCTCGTCTGTCATCTCTGGCCGGCCCCCTGTCCTCTCGTCCCCTCCAGCCGTCCCTGTCTTTATCCCCGGCTCTGTCCCTCCAGCCTTCTCCTCCACTTCTTCCACCCCCTCTCCATGCTCCCCCTCCTCTCTCCTCTCCCTCATCCTTACGCCTGTCCCTCCACGATTCACCTCCTCGGCGGTCATCTCCAAATCTATCATCACGTCCTCCTCCTCTTCCCCAATCATCCCTTGGTGGAGCTCTGTCTGAAAATCCCTCTCGATCCCTGTCTGATCTCCAGCGATCCTCTCTAGGTGGAGCTCTCCTGTCACCAAAGTCTCGATCTCTGTCATCTCTAGCAGGTGGACGGCGATCAAAATCTTCTCTACGACGATCACCAAAGTCACGATCATCTCTACGGCCAAAGTCACGGTCATCTCTACGGCCAAAATCTTTGTCTCTATCATCTCTCCTTCCAAAATCTCTGTCCCTGTCATCTCTTCTACCAAAATCTCTATCATCTCTTCTACCAAAGTCTCTATCATCTCTTCTTCCAAAATCTCTATCATCTCTTCTGCCAAAATCTCTATCCTCCCTTCTTCCAAAATCTCTATCATCTCTTCGTCCAAAATCTCTATCATCCCTTCTACCAAAATCACGATCATCTCTTCTGCGATCTCCAAATCCACCACGATCACCACCATCCCTTGAAGGACCTCTATCATCACCCCTGCCACCTCTCCAGCTGTCCCTGGGGGGTGAGGATCCCCTGGGTGGTGGTCTGTCATCCCTGGGTCCTGCCCTCCATCTATCTCCTTTAGGCTCCTCTTCCTCATCATATCTACAGAACACAATATTTATGAACATCAATTTTGTCCAAATATGACCAGGAAATGATTCTTTTATCACCTTGTCTTCCCATAGACTTTGATATTTCAAAAACAATATCTTCCTCATATGATACGCTACCTATTTTGAAGTGTGAATTGAATAAAGTAATCCATTAAAGTTATCCTACAAAAAAACCCCTTACCTTTTGGTGGGACTAGGCTCTTTCTTCCAGGCATCAATTCTCTGTTTCTCCCTTTCTCTCCAGCTTGAAGCTCCTGGTTCCCGAGATGGTCGCCAAGCTCGGCTATCCTCCTCTTTCTCGCGTTCACGATCTCGCCAACTCGGCTTCTCTCCAGGACGTCCAGGGGTTCTGGTACGATCATCTCTTTGATCATCTCTAAAGTTACAATCATAGTATAAATTTAATGAAACCTGCAGTTAGAAAAATCCTTTTTGCATTAAGTGGCTTTTAGTAACTTGTATGTACACATGTTTAAAAAGTTAAACTATACCCTGATCTCTCCATCTCCATCCTTCGTTTGGCTTCTTTCTCCTCTATCTCTCTCTCCCTCCTTCTCTGTTTTTCTGCCTGTTCCTCCAGTTTAGCCAATCTCTCTTCATATTCCTTCTTTTCTGCCTCCAACTTTTCTCTTTCTTCTCTCTCCTTCTCCTCTCGTTCTGATTGAAACATTTATTTTTTAATATACATACATATTTTTATTTTAGATTTTGTTCTCTCCTTTTTTTAGTCCTGTCAAATTATTCATTCAAAAAGTATGATGTAGCATAAGCATGATCAACACATCCACATTTCTTTCTTCCCATTATACAGACCTGTTTACCCAAATTAGTGTCTCTCAGTATTTTTCATTAGATTTGTCAGTGAGATTTGGCATTTGCCTGTAACATTTCACTTTTCATCGACTGTACATATATTACTAGAAAACAACTATATTTCTGATTACCAAAACATGGTTTAATAACAAAGAAAAACATCATACACTGCTCTCGTTTGAATGATTTCTGTCATTTTTTAAACCACCGCGTTTTGGCAACTTAAATGTTTGAAAATTTTCTCTTCTTTAGCGATTTAAAAGCGTCAAACTGAGACATATAACGAACACTAATTGATAAAATCCATATGAACGGATTTCCGTATTTTCGTTATAGCAAAACGTAAGACGTATTTTGGACTGAAAATCCGTACAAAATACGGCGAAATCGTAAGAGTAAACAGGTCTGCATTATATCAAAACATTACTTCCCTCTGATTATCCCCACCAACACCCCTTTCTCTCCCCTTTGGGCTGCTCATCTCTAAATCCTCCCCTTTGCCAAACATTACTCCATTTCAGCTGTTCATCATTAAATCCTCCCTTTACCTCTAACATTACCTCTCTAAAGCTTTTTATGTTTAAATCTCCACCTGATATTACCCCAATACTCCTCCTTTTCTCCCTTAACATTACCTCGTTTTAGCTGTTTGACCTTACCTCGTTTGAGCTGTTCATCCCTCCTCCTCTGTTCTTCCTCTGCCTTCTCCTGTAACCACCTCTGTCTCCTCTCCTCCCTTCGCTTCTCCTTCCTCTCATACAGCCTCTTCTTCCTCTCCTCGGCTACCTTCGTCTCAAATTCAACCAACTTTTTCTGTAAAATAAAACAGTATTTCTTATAAAGATAGATAGAAACATTCATAAGAAAAGTAACTATCTCCATATGGCTAGAGATTGTAAGCTCGTTTTAGTAAACTGTTTTCAGGTCATGTGATACAGTTTGTGGAGCGAGCTGATTTGTTCTTTGCCTCATTTGACGCCACAGCAACAATCATATTGTCATGGTAACATTCAAGGCAGTTAAAACTTTTTGATGTGTTCCTGATTAATCTTACAAACCATTTTATGCTCCAGATACCATGTCAGGACAAGAACAAAATTTTTCTTCATTAAATTGTTGATTTTAAATAATCATAAGCATAATAATCATAAAAGAGATCAGTCATGAATTGTGAGTCAACTTGTGTAATTAAAGTGTGCAATCTACATAAATGCTTTAATATATATCTAGATGTTTGCTGTTATGTAAAGTTGTAGAAAATCTACATCTTGTGTAAGCAGCAATTTGCTTTGTGCCCTTTATGACACCACAGGACCAACATGATCCTGAGGCAACGCTACAGGCAAATATGTTTTTAAATGCTTTATTTTTTAAGCCTTTTTTCATATAACTAAAGGTAAACATGATACCACAGAATTGAAGACCCAAGTTAATGCTGCAGGTGTCCATCTTTTCCTCATTATGTTCTCAATTTTTTTTTTTTAAACCATGTAAATAATATGGTCACTGATATTTTAACAACTTTATACTAAGTATTGTAAGCTCGTTTTAGTAAACTGTTTTCAGGTCATGTGATACAGTTTGTGGAGCGAGCTGATTTGATCTTTGCCTCGTTTGACGCCACAGCAACAATCATGTTGTCATGGTAACATTCAAGGCAGACAAAATACTGCATATCCTTTGGAGGCATGTTTAACAGAGTGGGGCTAACCCGTGCTCATAAACTTTTGTTAGAGGGACAGTGAATTTTGGCAAGCACTCGTATGAGCTCGTGTTGTTGAACAATCTTCTGGTATAGATTCAGGAGACCATGTTGAACTTTGATAGCTTGTTAGGACCTTTTTGTTAAGGCCTAGATAAATAAATAGTGTGTTTCCGGTTCCCTGACTGACCCTTAATATATGAGCTGACCCTAAAAAATTTATCCTCAGATATCTTTCCAGGAGTAAACTATTCCAGTTTCACTATTAAAAATCCTAATCTTGATCAATTCCGTGTTTCAGAAAATGCATATCCTACACACATTAATTAGAAATGCTTTGACAATGATTTCCCTGGGAAAAATTGGTAGCGTGCTTGCCAATAAAATATTAAAATAAAATAAAATGTTTTCCCTACCTACCAGGTTGGAATAGGAAACAAACTATTTATTTATCTTGGCCTAATGATTTTTAAAAATCACACAAGATAAACTACATGAACAAGTGTTAATGATGTTGCCATTCTAAAAACTGTCTCCAATTCAATGAATGCTTTGGCTGATCATATATGTTCAGTAAAACTTTATTATGAACTATAAATCATTTGTATGCTGGTTTGTAGGACCTATACTGATTGCTCTAAGTCCTGTGTATGCAGCAAGTTCCTTTCTGCCCCTTGAGACACTGCAAACTGGTAATAAGAGTGCAGTAACGCTGAAGGCATAGGAATAAAGAATATCAGATGATGTGCTACACTCACTAATAATGTGAATGGTCTAGCTGCTGCCTTTTTTTATCAATCAGAATTTTAAAAGTTGAGAGTCATTTCTGTCTGATTAAATATGTAAATCTGTATGCTGGTTTGAAGGATCTACATGATTGCTATAAACCCTTTGTATGCAGCAAGTTTCTCTCTGCCCATTGACACACCGCAAATAAACATACAATAGATTTGCAGTAACCTAAAGGCACTGTGGTCACAAATATCAGGAAGGGTCATTTCTGGTCCACAGACATACCATTCAAGTCATCTAATAGTCAAATAAATGAGGAAAGAGCTTACATACATGTACATTTTACAGTCTAAATGCAACATGAGTGCTAAATATAAAGGTACATGTTCAAGAACAGTTTATAGCACCAAAAACCTTTTAGTTCCAATAGCACTAGAGTTTGTGGTGCACTTTTAAAAGCTTTTACATCACTACCCTATTCAGATTAGCAGGTGAGAATCAATCACCTACACACAGAACTGACTAACCTGTATACTGAACAGGTAGAAAATATTTGACAAGTAGCAACCAAATTGTAGGAAAGAAAAAGAAAACAGAAACTTCAGTGCTTACATTTTCTTCTCATCTAAATGTAAATAACGTGCCGATTCTCTATAGACCATTACATTAATGCTAATCTTATTTACATTCTGGCAGCCAAAACAACTTTGAACTAGTGTAAGTGTTGTACTATTTTTTTCTTTCTGTTTTGTCTTTGGGCTGTACTAATTGTATGTCTCACACACTGATCAACAATTCCAAAACGTCTCAAGTTACTTATCCATTTTAATTATGCTCACCTTGAAGATCTCCTTCCTCTGCCCTCTCAGTAGATTCAGGAATTCCTCTTTTTCTGACTTCATCCTGTGGAGACGATCACGACTGGCTAATGCCATCTGGCGATCCTTCTTCAGCTGTTCAATCTATTAGGAAACAAATCAGTGCTGATTAGATTATGTTGTTTTATTTAAATACAAGCATTGTCAAATATATAAGTTTCACAAAACACACACACACTTTATTGCATTAAAAATTCAGTTAATAATAATGTGCAGTTTACCCTCACACCCAAGTTCTGATGTTAAAAACTATCGACAGTCAAAACTGAAGAAAAATGTTCTTTTTGCTCAGCACACAATAAACTTAATACATGGAAACAACAAAGCTTTTCACAACTCCAAGAATGTCTTCTTTATATTCATGCATGAAACAACTGCCTTCAAATATTGGAATTATTATACAAACAGCAAGTCTTTGTATATTACCTACAAGTCTTTGTAAATTACTACAAGTCTTTTTTCATGTATATTACCCATAAGTCTTTGTATATTACCCATAAGTCTTTGTATATTACCCATAAGTCTTTGTATATTACCCACAAGTCTTTGTACATTACCCACAGGTCTTTGTACATTACCCACAGGTCTTTGTATTTTACATACAAATCTTTGTACATTACCCACAAGTCTTTGTACAAGTATATTACCCACAGGTCTTTGTTCTTTAACCATACAAAACAGGTTGAGATGTCAATGACATACTAAGAGCCATTTTATGAATCACAAACCTTTTCTGCTTCCTGCTGTTCAAAGAATTCACGGGCCAACTTTTTCTCCTTATCATACTGTTCTTTCAAAAGGGGGATTTCTTCTAATCGCTTTGCTCGTGCAAAATGGTCAATCTAAAATGCAAACATTCTGAACAATCATTTTTCATTCCTCTTTTCACAAATTGTTTTAGAAAGTTTCCATTACAACATAACTGATATTGTGTTAAAATTTTAGTGTTTTTAAGCCCTGACCTTTTTCTCCTGGTTTTTAAGTCGGTCCATCAGTTCTTTCTTCTCTTTCTCTAACTGTTCCACTTGTTTAGCCATTATGTCCTCTACATCTAAAGTGGCAAAGTCCTAAAAAAACAGTATCCAATTATACACCCTCCACATCTAATGTGAAAGAAGTCCCGAAACAAAACAGTATTCACTTATACACCCTCCACATCTAATGTGGCTAAGTCCTGAAACACAATATTCACTTATACACATTCACTTTACCACAAAGAAACAATCCAGCATTAATTCCACAATTTATATTTTTGCTCATAAATCTAATTCCTGATAATATGGGTTCTTCTCATTTCAGGAATAAATACTTGCTACCTCTTCAACTGAAAAAAGTGATAAATCCTTTTAGATCTTGATAATTGTTCTGTAAGTTGACTAGAATTCACAGAACAGAATTGCACATCACAAAACTTTGATAAACCTATGTCTCTGTACTAAGGATAAGATTTTACATACTGCCGTCGCGTCTTACCTCTTCGTCCAGATTCTGTAGGACCTTGGCCCCTATGTCAGTCTTTTTATTTTATTTTTGTATTTATGATATTGAGATAGTTGTATACTGTCATCCCTGCTTACCTCTTCGTCCAGATTCTGTAGGACCTTGGCCCCTATGTCAGTCTTTTTATTTTATTTTTGTATTTATGGTATTGAGATAGTTGTATACTGCCGTCGCGTCTTACCTCTTCATCCAGATTCTGTAGGACCTTGGCCCCTATGTCAGTCTTTTTATTTTATTTTTGTATTTATGGTATTGAGATAGTTGTATACTGCCGTCGCGTCTTACCTCCTCGTCCAGATTCTGTAGGACCTTGGCCCCTATGTCAGTCTTTTTATTTTATTTTTGTATTTATGGTATTGAGATAGTTGTATACTGCCGTCGCGTCTTACCTCTTCGTCCAGATTCTGTAGGACCTTGGCCCCTATGTCAGTCTTTTTATTTTATTTTTGTATTTATGATATTGAGATAGTTGTATACTGTCGTCCCTGCTTACCTCTTCGTCCAGATTCTGTAGGACCTTGGCCCCTATGTCAGTCTTTTTATTTTATTTTTGTATTTATGGTATTGAGATAGTTGTATACTGCCGTCGCGTCTTACCTCCTCGTCCAGATTCTGTAGGACCTTGGCCCCTATGTCAGTCTTTTTATTTTATTTTTGTATTTATGGTATTGAGATAGTTGTATACTGCCGTCGCGTCTTACCTCTTCATCCAGATTCTGTAGGACCTTGGCCCCTATGTCAGTCTTTTTATTTTATTTTTGTATTTATGATATTGAGATAGTTGTATACTGCCGTCGCGTCTTACCTCTTCATCCAGATTCTGTAGGACCTTGGCCCCTATGTCAGTCTTTTTATTTTATTTTTGTATTTATGGTATTGAGATAGTTGTATACTGCCGTCGCGTCTTACCTCTTCGTCCAGATTCTGTAGGACCTTGGCCCCTATGTCAGTCTTTTTATTTTATTTTTGTATTTATGGTATTGAGATAGTTGTATACTGCCGTCGCGTCTTACCTCTTCATCCAGATTCTGTAGGACCTTGGCCCCTATGTCAGTCTTTTTATTTTATTTTTGTATTTATGATATTGAGATAGTTGTATACTGCCGTCGCGTCTTACCTCTTCATCCAGATTCTGTAGGACCTTGGCCCCTATGTCAGTCTTTTTATTTTATTTTTGTATTTATGGTATTGAGATAGTTGTATACTGCCGTCGCGTCTTACCTCCTCGTCCAGATTCTGTAGGACCTTGGCCCCTATGTCAGTCTTTTTATTTTATTTTTGTATTTATGGTATTGAGATAGTTGTATACTGCCGTCGCGTCTTACCTCTTCGTCCAGATTCTGTAGGACCTTGGCCCCTATGTCAGTCTTTTTATTTTATTTTTGTATTTATGATATTGAGATAGTTGTATACTGTCGTCCCTGCTTACCTCTTCGTCCAGATTCTGTAGGACCTTGGCCCCTATGTCAGTCTTTTTATTTTATTTTTGTATTTATGGTATTGAGATAGTTGTATACCGTCCTCCCTGCTTACCTCTTCGTCCAGATTCTGTAGGACCTTGGCCCCTATGTCAGTCTTTTTATTTTATTTTTGTATTTATGGTATTGAGATAGTTGTATACCGTCGTCCCTGCTAACCTCTTCGTCCAGATTCTGTAGGACCTTGGCCCCTATGTCAGTCTTTTTATTTTATTTTTGTATTTATGGTATTGAGATAGTTGTATACTGTCGTCGCGTCTTACCTCTTCGTCCAGATTCTGTAGGACCTTGGCCCCTATGTCAGTCTTTTTATTTTATTTTTGTATTTATGGTATTGAGATAGTTGTATACCGTCCTCCCTGCTTACCTCTTCGTCCAGATTCTGTAGGACCTTGGCCCCTATGTCAGTCTTTTTATTTTATTTTTGTATTTATGGTATTGAGATAGTTGTATACTGCCGTCGCGTCTTACCTCTTCGTCCAGATTCTGTAGGACCTTGGCCTCTATGTCAGTCTTTTTATTTTATTTTTGTATTTATGGTATTGAGATAGTTGTATACCGTCGTCCCTGCTTACCTCTTCGTCCAGATTCTGTAGGACCTTGGCCCCTATGTCAGTCTTTTTATTTTATTTTTGTATTTATGGTATTGAGATAGTTGTATACCGTCGTCCCTGCTTACCTCTTCGTCCAGATTCTGTAGGACCTTGGCCCCTATGTCAGTCTTTTTATTTTATTTTTGTATTTATGGTATTGAGATAGTTGTATACTGCCGTCACGTCTTACCTCTTCATCCAGATTCTGTAGGACCTTGGCCCCTATGTCAGTCTTTTTATTTTATTTTTGTATTTATGGTATTGAGATAGTTGTATACCGTCCTCCCTGCTTACCTCTTCGTCCAGATTCTGTAGGACCTTGGCCCCTATGTCAGTCTTTTTATTTTATTTTTGTATTTATGATATTGAGATAGTTGTATACTGTCATCCCTGCTTACCTCTTCGTCCAGATTCTGTAGGACCTTGGCCCCTATGTCGGTCTTTTTGAGCTGTTCGATCCTCTCCATTGCGTGTTTTTTCTGGATTTCTTTGTGTTCCTCAATCTTTCTAAGTCTCTCTCTCTCCTTGGCTTCCCGTTCTAGACGAGCCATCTCGGCATCATACGCCTTCTTTCTCTGCTCCTCTATCTGCTCTTGTTCTTCCCGCTCCTATGTATAAGAAATACATCAACATAATATACATACTTGTGTATGATTTCATTTTCATATTTAAGGATAAATAACACAAACTTTTTTTTCACAAACCAGCAATATTTCTCATAGATTTATATTCAAATAGGTAACCTGTAAAATGTTTGCCATGTAAAGTGGGAGAATTTTGTACGATTTTGCCACAATGTTAACAAGAGGCCCATGGGCCACATCGCTCATTTGAGCACATTGGCTAGGCAAAAGCACAAATCAGTTCAGTATTGAAAAGATTACTGGGGGGTGGGGGTGGGAGGGGGAGCTTGAATTTTAAACTACCTGATGTTGCTTCCATGTCAATATAACAAATGGCTTTGTTGTACTTGAGAAGATTTGAAAATTTTTTTCCCATACATTATTTTGTAAAAATTTGATCCCCCATTGTGGCTCCTCCCTACCCCAGGGGTCATGATTTGAACAAACTTGAATCGACACTACCTGAGGATGCTTCCATATCAATATGACTAAACATAGCTTTTCTGTTCTTGAGGAGAAATATTTTTTCTGTATGTTCTTATGTAAAACTTTCTACTCCCCCCCCATTGGGCCCCACCCTACCCCCGGGGGTCATTATTTGAAAACAAAATTGAATTTATACTACCAGAGGATGCTATCATATCAAAATGACTTAACACAATTTTCGTTCTTGAGAAGAAGATATTTTCCTATATGTTCCTATGTAAAATTTTCGATCCCCCATTGTTGCCCTACGCTATCCCCGGGGGTCATCATTTTAACAAACTTGATTCTACACTACCTGAGGATGCTTCCATATCAAAACGACTAATAAAGGCTTTGCAGTTCTTCAGAAGTAGAGATTTTCCTCTATATTTCTATTAAAAACTTTGATCCTCCATAGTGGTCCCACCCTACCCCCGGGGGTCATGATTTGAAAAAATTGAATCTACACTACCTGAGGATGCTTCCATATAAATATGACTCATCATGGCTTTGCTTTTCTTGAGAAAAAGATTTTCAAAGGTTTTTCCTATATATTTCTATGTAAAACTTTGATCCTCCATTGTGGCCCCGCCCTACCTCCGGGGGTCATGATTTGAACAATCTACACTACCTGAAGATGCTTCCACATAAATATAACTTATCATGGCTTTGCTTTTCTTGAGAAGAAGATTTTTAAAGGTTTTTCCTATATATTTCTATGTAAAACGTTGATCCTCCATTGTGGCCCCACCCTACCCCAGGGGTCATGATTTGAACAAAATTGAATCTACACTACCTGAGGATGCTTCCACATAAATATAACTTATCATGGCTCTGCTGTTCTTGAGAAGAAGATTTTTAAAGATTTTTCCTTTACATTTCTATGTAAAAATTTGATCCTCCAATGTGGCCCCACCCTACCCCGGGGGCCATGATTTGAACAAACTTGAATCTACACTACCTGAGGATGCTTATATATATAAATATGACTCATCATGGCTTTGCTTTTCTTGAGAAAAAGATTTTTAAAGGTTTTTCTTATATATTTCTATGTAAAACTTTGATCCTCCATTTTGGCCCCGCCCTACCCCCGGGGGTCATGATTTGAACAAATTTGAATGTACACTACCTGAGGATGCTTCCATATGAGTTTCATCTTTCCTGGCCCTGTGGTTCTTGAGAAGAAGATTTTTAAAAGATGCTATTAATTTTTCTCTAATTCTTTATTATCTCCCCTTGAAAGAGGGCGTGGCCCTTCATTTGAACAAACTTGAATCTCCTTACCCCAAGGATACTTTGTGCCAAGTTTGGTTGAAATTTGCCCAGTAGTTCTAGAGAAGAAGATGAAAATGTGAAAAGTTTACGACAACGACGACAACAACAACACCAACGACGACAGACAACGGACAAATTTCGATCAGAAAAGCTCACTTAAGCTTTCGGCTTAGGTGAGCTAAAAATATGTGCAAAATTTTGCATAGAATTACGAAGAAAACGATACAAAGTCGCATATCTAAGTACCAAAGAAAACTTACGATTTCTTTATATTTTAGGGATTTATTATTTACATCATTTCTAATCAAATTCAGTCAAAAAATATATATCAATCCATGCATCAAATTTTTGTTTGTGTTATGTATCCTTAAGACTATAATTTTTATATTAAGGATAACAACATGCAGATTTTTTTAAACATTCAACTGAATTACGCTCCCTGGTTGTTTAGAGTTCCCTTCTGTACTCCCCAACATGATAAGCTTACTGTCCACCCTTAACACGCCTCTCTTCCTGACTTCAGTAGATCCCTCCCTCCCCCAGAATTAAAGCTACTCACCCTCTGATCATTGAGGTGTTCCAGCTGCTCCTTTCGATCCTCAATAATCTGTCTCCTCTGTAGGATCCTCTGATGTTCCTTTTTAGCTGTCATCCTGTAGCTGTTTGCAATCTGTACTTGAAGCTCGTGTCTTTGTACCTAAGGAAAGATAAAGATTCATTCCAAGTGTCTTGTCCTTGAATTTAATGTACATGAACTCATGGTTTCTTCCAAATTTCCTCTAAACAAACCAAACAGTTCCTAATAACTTTGTGGTGGTTACAATGGTTTTGTTGCAAAAATCTACTCATCTTAATTTTATCTCAACAGATGCCGGTTGATAAGGAAGCAATGTTAATACCATGACCCTTTCACTAGGGACCACATAAACCAGGTTTTTTTTTAAAAAATAGCATTGTCATTTTTCAAATCCATGCATCCTGGCCTTGACCTCTCACCTTTCTATCTTTAGGTTCGATTCTATCCACTGCTCGGTGGAGAGCTCTAGCCATGGAGATCAGCTGATTACGGATGCCCTCGCTGGGCATGCTCTGTATATAGGGCCCCTCTGGGACATCCTCTTTCTGTGCCACCATTAAATCAGTACCAAAACTCAGCGACTTGCTTCTGTGGTCTATTCTTACCTGTTGTTTCACAAAAAACATGTAAACTTTATGTACATTAAACCACGTCTGGGCAAATGATATAATTTTTACACTTAGTCCCTTATCTTTAAGAATACTATGTCCATCTATGCAAGATTAAAACATTGCAGAATTACAGTATTGAGTAAATTAATAAATTCATTTTTTAGTCCTAAAATATCTGCTATACACATATAAGAAGCATTCACAAGACATAAATATGAATAAGATATTATACGGTAGTAAATTGTTGCTGTGTTTGGAGACCTCATGAACAAGATTAACAGACCTGTAATTCTAGAGTCTTGGCTGCATCCACAATAACTCTCTCCAGGCGGAACTTGGAGGCGAATGGAATTAGGTCTGCCAGTCGGGAAAAGGCAATGGTCTGATACACCTGGGAGACCTGGTCAAGCACACAATATCAGTTTATATCAAATGAAATACTGTTTTCTCAAAATCATTTTAAACCTTTCTCTTGAACAAATTCAAGAACCTAGAAATATTTTTTTAAAATTCTGGTTAATGTTTTGTACCTGTTTTAAGACCCTGGTGATGATAATTTCCTCCAGGGCTGGGATATACTGACTCAGCTCCTCATTTTCACTGATAAACTCAATGGAAGATTTCACTCGATCATGAAGTCTCAGGGGATGGAACTCTACCTCCAGGTATTTATACAGGTTCTGTAACTCCGGGTGGACATACTGGATAATACTGTACTTCACCTAATGACAGACAATACTGACTTGTAATAAATATTCCGTTACAACAACCCTATACTTTAAGGAACTATCACTAGTTCTAACTAAAACTAAATTTCTTTTGAATAATGTGTATAAAATTCCTCGGTTGGTGTAAACTGTCATTAGAGCTTGTTACACTAATGGATTATAGATAGTTTTACAATGAATACAAAGCCTGTTTATATTCTTCTTTACAACTTTTAATGCAGTATTACATTCACACTGCTTCCTAATGTGTTGCTTATCACAAACTAAACAAATAAAACATTTTATAACACCCTATCTGAATTGTTCAGCACATTAGGATGGCCTACCAGGTCCTTGATCATAGATTGTCTGGTGGGAGCTGTATTCAGCATCAGAAGGGTGGCCAGTCTCCTTTTCTTTTCCATGGTCGCCTCGTCTGTTTCTAACAGCTGATCAATTGTGTTCCTTGAGGCCGGAATCGGTACAGCTAGGGTGGCACACAAAACTTTGGAGGCCATTCTGTTGACAAATTAAAACATTTAATAATCTACAGGTATATTGACAATAAGTCACATTACTGAAATGGACTCAATGCCATTTTGTCAACAGAACAGAACAGTAAGCAGTACAAAATACCATAAAAGGCCCACTTTTTACCAGTGTTTACAATCAGCACAACCTAATGTTCTGTATTGCTTTCAAAACCTTCAATTTGCCTCCCACCATATGCATCAAAGAATAAGCATTATCATAATATGTACTGTATGTACACTACATCCCATAAACCTTTAAAAAGAAATCCTTACTTTTGTAACTCGTCAGCAGATAGATTTTTCCTCTGTTCCCTGGACAAGATGTACAATCTGTGGAGTGTACTGGCATGGAACAGACCACTGCCAGACTTCCAGAACACCATACCCAGCTTCTGGTAGTAGTTAGCCATCAGGGACGGCTTGGGGGATTTCTTAGACAGCTGGATTAGTCCATGAATGTCCTCCACTGCTTTGAAAGCCTCCTACAAAAAAACAATGTTTACAATCATTAACCTTTAACCATGTACATTCCCAGTTTATGATCTGAAATTAGAATTCAACTCTGGAATACCTAGTTTTAATTAGTAACATAAGACCAAGTTCATTCCCTGTTAAACAAACATTCTATCTCTCCCTAGTCTGAAATTAGGACTCAATTTTGGGATACCTAGTGAGAGGTGGATCAATTCTATTTATCACCAAATTTTCTTTCTATCAATTTCAATCCTTATTTGCTTCTGTGTTTACATCTTCGCTAGCCAAGGGTTTCTGATATGCTACTCTCCTCATAAGCCCTTGGCATACGGTGTTAAAAAAAGTTGGGATTTTTTTCTCAAGTTGTGATTGGAGTTGATCGACATCATTCGACCAATCAGCAATTGTTTTTTGTAAATGACGATATTTGCGTTCGGGATATATCTTGACTCTTTCATATCGGGAATGAAAAACGCAAGTAAACAACGATCCGTGAGATAACATGCCATTCTATGAATAGCTATATGGTGTCATCCAATATCTTAAGCTACGTGCAAAATATGTCATTAAGAATCTATTCTGAAGATGTAGATTTGCATTTTAACATGTTTAAATAACAAATTAAATAACTCAATACCTTCTTGTTAATTATTCTTCAAAAACATTATTTTTTCAAATACGCTTTTTATTTCTGTCGATGACGCAATCTGTGCGTACCTGGTAAGAAGCGTGATCACGTGACGAAAACAATCCCGTCTTTTGTCAGCACCGTATGCCAAGGGTTTATGAGGAGAGTAGCGTATCAGAAACCCTTGGCTAGCGAAGATGCTGTGTTTAAAACACTGAGAATCCTGTATCCAATATTATCAAATTAAAAATACCAGATTTGCACCACACCCATATTTAGCTGCATTTAACATGCCCTATCCTTAATTACTATCAGACAAAATTCTTATTGTCCTCTATTTCTAACAGGATGATCTGACTGGATATCATACCTGCCACAGCTCCATCTTGATGGCACTGTCCAGTTGTTCCAGACGAGTTTCCAGGTGCATGGCCTGGGAGTCCGGGTTGTTCAGGTTAATGGCAGTTGCCTGGTGCTGGTGTTTGTGGATGTGGCCCAAATGAGTTCTCAGCTGTAAAATATTTGAATGCATTAGCTATAGTATTCTATGTTCTATTAACAAATATTTGGGCTTTGAATGTCCTGATTTTTTATATATATAATCCACGCTAGTTTATTTCTTTTTCAATAAGAAAAGTCATTAACTTGATGTAGATTAAGGAAATTGTTTCTTTTGGAATATATTTGTATTCATCAATTAAAAGTAACTCCAGAATAACAAATTGAATCAAATTTTTGTGTATTTTACAATAAATGAGGTAATTTCCTTACATTATCACATAGCTTTCTGAACTCAGTTTTCCTGTTGTACTTCAAGCAAAACTTGAAAGCTGTAATAAAATAGTTAACATAGTAAATGCTTAAAAGTTAGATTATCCAAAATATCGACTCTTTGTTGAAAAGTTAATAGTTTCTTTTTACTTCATACTAATTAATTCCATAACTTTTACAATGCTCATTTATAGATAGTATTATTGCACCGTCACCTTGCTGTGCGATATCTTGGTACAGCCGCTCTACGCGGGAATTATTACGAAGCAGATCCAGGCATTGTCTGTACGATTCCCACAGGAATTTGACCCATGGGGTCAGAATGGCACGGTCAGTTCTGTCCTGAGTGTCCTCTCCACTCACTGCCTTCAATAGCAGGCTGAAATTAGTATCCAGAATTAAAATCTGAAGGTAAACTAGAGGTCAGAAAGAATTTGTATTTTATAACAGAAAATTTCCAAGTCAAAGCAGAATTACTGTGGGGTTTTATGTTGTTAAGGGACAGCTGAATACTTGTCCTTGACTGACCTTTCTGGAGTGTCTGGATTGTCAAGGTCATCGATGTCGACCACTGCTTGATGGGATTCCGCCCTGGCTGCATCGGTTTTGGACTCGGCGAGACTGATGTACTTCCTGACAACATCCTCTAGAGACTTTATATTTACCTAACACCAAAAGAGAAAATTAAAGTTAAATAATTACCAACAGAGTTTTCTAGGTACTGTACATTGGTTTCAGTTTGGCTTATTATCTCCTATGGCACTTATTGCCATTGCTCGACTTCACACGAACTCAATGTGTTCAAATCTGTCTTTTAACAAATAGATTATTCCCCATTTCTAGAATGAGGGCATGATTATAGTTTTAATGAACACTGCAAGTTATGCATCCTCCCTATAAAATAATTCAACAGGGTGCTGTTAAATTTGATTTTAAGATGAAAGACAGAGTGGATAATATGAGATCACCTGCTGACAGATGTTCTTGTATTGGTACAGCCCCTCCTTGGCTATGTGGCTTTTCCTCAATTCGACACACAGCTGGAGGTACTTCTCCATGATGGGCTCGTGAATCTTCTGCCATGTTCGATGTTTCTTGCTTTTAATTACGTCATACAAAGCATCTAGAGCCCGCTGTTTCTTCCCAACATCAATGAATTCTACAATACAAAATGTCTTTGTATAATATCAATTCCATACTCAATTATACAGGTGCAACTTTTCTTTGAAATACTCAAAAAATTGCCTTTCTTTACAAAACTAGTAAATTTACTAAATAAAACTGATTGAAACTCTATGTCTAATTCAAGCCACATTGTCAAAACTTTGAAAACTGTACCAGACTTGAAAAGGGTGTTCAATAAAAGTATTACTGAATCAGAATACAATTCATGTTCTGATCAATTTAATACATACTGGTCTAAGATTACATATGAAGTATGTGTATCAATCTGCAACAGTTTCTGATATTGTTTTAGCATGTTTTATCAAACAATATGCTAGGATGTACTACGTCATGAAACCCGGATTGACCATGTGCATCCCAAGGCCAACATGTATCTTACCATTTGCCCGCTTAAGGGCGTTTTCCGGTCTTTGAAAGTAAGTTGGCATAGTGTCTTAATAAGACATGTGGAACTTCCTGGTAAAAACGTGAATTTTGAGCCAAGGTTATCACTTTCTTCTTAGATCATAGATTTGGTCCCTGCAAAACCAATATGGCTCCAACCACTCGCACATGTGCGGAAAACGAATTATGACGTCATCAATATTGAGATAACTCATTCGTATATTTACTCGTATTTTACAAACTATACAGATAACATTTTATTTTTATCGTCGGATTTCTTTATGCACCATTCAATATAACTATTGAATATAATTGTAATCTAAAATAAAAGTTTTTTTTTTTGTTTTTTTGTTTTTTTTTTTTTAATTTCGAAGTAAATTGGTCCTAGTTATTAAAAGAGGACTAGCAAATTAAAAATGAAACAAGGAACACAATGACGAATACACATCAGTTTTTGAGTGCAAAATCGACAGGATTGATCGGTAACTGTTGATGTAGAAATATTTATTCAGCAAATTCATGTAGAATTCTTAAATTTTATGTTTTTGTACATGAGACTGCTATTATAGTGGGGAAAACAAACCCACATGCAATGTAATTATATACGCCCCTTTCTACTTTCACTTTATTAATAGTTTGGAATGTTTCTGAACATGTGTACTGTAGGTCGTTAAATTTCTTAACTAAAAATTTTTTTTTTCAATCTTACGTACATGTACATCAATCTGATAAAGCTTGGTCTCCCTGTTTTGATTCATAATTGAAAACCTCTGTAGCATTTAGAAAGCAGGGCAAGACCCAAGTACCTGTAGGGCTAAACATTAGGAGTGCAACGATACACCAACCTCACGATACGATACGTATCACGGTATTCAGCTCACGATACGATACGTATCACGATACATCACAAGGTTAAGAAGTCTTAACTTGACAAGTTTAAAGCAAATGTTCATATTTTTTTTGATAATAATTAAAAATATCAATTTGTTAACTTGAATTGGATGGATAGATCTTTGAGTTGTGACAATATTCTAAACCAAAGACGAACATTTACAGGGAACTACGGGGACCTTTCCTTGTTTTTTTCTTTTAAACTGGGATGAAAAAGGAAGACTTTTATTCATTTATTTCTTTCATTTAAGTAGAAAATCAGTCGTCATATTTCTCATGTTAACACGTTTTAGTCAACAAGACAGCGAATTTTCATCGAAATACATGCAGAATGAGATATCGTGTATTACAATAGAATACGTTTAGATCTAAAGGGCTTATGATTTGTATTAACATCTATAACTTTTAATCACATTAGGGGTGAGATAAAGTCTTTCGTGTTAAATCTGAGGTTTGTAAGATGCTGGAGATGAATTTAACTGCCGATAGAATAGATAAGGCGCTATCATCGACCTCATGTTTTGCAAGGAAGCCATTTTGAAATTGTAAACAAGGAAACAAAACGGACAATTCAGATAATTCTGGACCGATTGAACCGAACCGCGATATCAGTTTAGCATATCGTGAATTGAACCGTGGAAAAATATACCGCGAAATACCGTCATTGCACTCTTGCTAAACATTCACTTTCTGTAACATTTGATGTTATATGTATTTTCTTATCACAAAAAATGCTACTTAATAAATCATATTAGGTAAGAGACTGAGTTAATTATTTTTGTGATAAGAAAAATACTTAACATTAAACATCGATGTTAAATGGCATGCATGTGCACTGAGGGAAATTTTAATCACATAATTCATATTGATTGTACATATATCAGAATTTAAACAGGTGTTTTGTTGAGAAATGGTTAGCGTCAAAATTTTAAAAAAAAAATGCAACTACCTGTCTGCATGGGTTCAGGTTCATTTGGGCAACCTCAAATTTCCTTTGACAACTTGTTGTCCTCATGAATGGTTGATAGGCAATTTTCTGTAGAGTATTAACGAGGTTTGCTCCTGAGCTTTTGAGCAGATTTTTATTTTAACCTATATTTAAAAAGTTCTGCATAATGTTTTAATTCTTACAATAAATTTGGATTCTACATTGCCAAACAAACTATATTAAGTTAAAACTCCATGATTAAATTCCATACCAAAAGCATTATGTGAGGAACTATATTTTGTGGTGGAAGGTTTTTTTAGAAGAAAATGATCATTTTTTCTCTTTCGAAGTATTTAAAGTATGTTAAGTTTGGATTCCTATTTTTACATGCAGTCTGCACAGAGTTATTTTGTGCAGTGAACTGTTTTATACTGGTCTTAAATTATACATTAAATAAACTGTCATGAATTCTATCATCATATTTGATAAATATAGCAAATATGTTGTGAAAATTTAGGAAGAAAATAGCCCTAATTTAAGCTGAAAATTAGCACTATTTTAGTAATATCTAAAAATTAACATCAAAGACCCCCACTTTTAATTTTCTTTTCTGAATATATAAGATACTTTTAACCATTCTTCTTAAATTCAGTAAAATGTCATTACTTTTAAATGAGTTTTTTGCTTGTTAAATTTTTAATGCTAGCAAAATGAAATTTTTTGAGTGCAAAAAGGTCAAATAATGGAACATGTGGAGTAATTTGAAAAATTTTTCGTTGTCAAAAATTTTAATGGATCTATTCAAGATGAAATAAGACTGTGTTTGTTCCCATAACTTATTTGAATAAAAAATATTGGAGGAAAAAAACTTTAAAAATTGATTTATGTGTAAGATGTATTTACAATGCAAAAAGGTCAAACTAAATGCTCTGTAGCACCAAAAGAAGCGCATTGACCTCCATTTTTTGTTTTGATTTTTAATTAAGTTATGTGTATAAATTCTGAAAATATACTTGATAAAAAATTCTCATTACTTTTGATGGCAGGAACCAACCTCCTTAAGTCCTGATAGATAACTGACTTAAATGTTATTCAAAAACTATTGTTTTACTTTTGTAGAGCGAGATGTAAATGGGGATGTGCTATGGACGTGGTCCTATCCATCTGTGAGCGAAGCAGACAGAGAATTCTTTATTCGGAAGTCTCGGCTTGATGCCCCAGACAATGCGGTACCGTTTCTGTACAGTCAGAGACATCACACATGGTACTACATCTTTACCTTTGTTGTAGATGACTCTGACCACCTTCCTAAAGTAAGCATTGGCTTGACACATGGTGCAAATTTCATATTTTTACCAAAATTAAGAAAAAAACAAGCACAAAACAAAATCAAAATATTTATTAATAAGCAGGTGTTCAGTTTTGTATTTCCAGATTTTTTTTCTTCTAAACAGTAGTTATTTCATTATCATTGTCTGCAAATCAGCTGTCATAATTTTCTTTATTATATAATGGTATTAATGCTCTAATTAGATAAAAAGTCACTGACCTTTTAATTAAATCATATATAATTTGACTTTCGTATATTGTTAATATATTAAAAATAATTCATTTGAAACCTAGCAGTGTATGTGAATTTACAAAATTTTGAAGTACGTGTCTTATTTTCCTTAAACTGCAGACAATGTTTCACATCATCTGAGGCATTCTGTTTTTTTTTGTTTTTTTTTCAGGTGACACATGTTTCCATTGTTCTAGTCACCAAAGATTTCAACCCAGAAAAATATGAGATACTTTGTAGGATCTTGCTGAAGAAATACCGAAAATCTGGCAACCCAGCACAATTACTGGAGAGTTATCTCAGCGTCACCACCAGGGGGAGCTGTTCTACTGAGGAAAATGGACGATTTTCTGTACAGGACTATGACATCAGAAGATCATATGCCAACACCAAGCTAAAAGGTATGCACATATAAGGTCGTCAATGAATTACATGTTATTTACTTTGTCAATGAATAAAACTTGACCTTTGTAGATCACCAAAATATCATGACATCTTATTTTGATGATATTTTTTTAATATTTACATAAGCGAGGCAATTTTTAAAAGAATTTCAATCATTGTTGTAAATAATATTTGATATTGAAAATATGCACAAGATTGAAATTTTCACAAAAGAGGCAAAAATGGTTCTCGCAAATTAAAAGTTATTTTACAGTATTTTTAAATGATATACATGTAAATATCATTTTAAAAATCATTGATAGTCCAGGAAAGCTTTTTTATGTTATACACTTCAACCCATATAAAACAACTGACATACAGAATATCTGCAACGTATCTTTAAATTAGTCCATGAAATCTATATTTCCCTTCAAAAATGAGATGATTTTTTTGACAGATTTTATTTTAACCTATGGAGTGGAGTCCATCATTGTTTACACAGCTCTACTTCTCAAAAAGAGGCTGGTGGTTTACTGTCCAGAGAATCAAGTTCAACAATTAATGTCCATAGTCAGGTACTGGTCTTCTATCTGACCAATAACAATCAATTGACCCTGCATGTAATGAATTCACCCATCTGTGGATTAATCCATCAATTAATACAGTGTTTACTTATGTGATCAATAAAGCAGTCTGATTAAAGTCGTCTTCTAGATGGGAGGGGGTGGGGTGGTGGTCTGGTTTTAATCAAACTGTCTATAAATTTGATCCAATAAAATAGATTAATTCATCAATACTTCTATTAAACACTTCCATGATAAGGTTGTGTTTTTAACTAATTATACTTTGAAATATGATTTGATTTAAAGTAACAGCAGCTAGATTTAATCAGTAAGTAACCAACTTGCATTCGCGTACGAGAAATATTCGCAAGTTTCGCGACCTACTTTAACTCCCAAATATTAATCGCCGCTAAACATTTATTTTGCTTTGTATTGGTAGAGAATGATTCCTCAGTCACAAAAATTAATTGTCACGGATTCATTTCAAACTGATGAATCGCGAATAAAAGTTGAAGCAAATAATAGTTGGTTTACAGTAATCAATTGTTCAATCAATCTCCCTACAGGTCCCTTCCTGCTCTAGTGTGGCACAGGCAGAACTGGGACATAGCCTTCCCTTTGATAGAGATGGAGGACTCAGAGGTGGATGTATTAAAACAGACCAGTAGTTATGTCGCAGGGGTCACAGATGCTTCAATGGAGGGCAGGTATGTATTCAGTAATTATGTGGCAGGGGTCACAGATGCTTCAGTGGAGGGAAGGTATGTATATTCGGTAATTATGTTGCAGGGGTCACAGATGTTTCATTGGGGAGGGCAGGTGTGCATGTGTTCAGTTATTATGTGGCAGGGGTCACAGATGCTTTGATAGAAGGCAGGTATGTGTTCAGTAGTCATGTAGCAAGGGTCACAGATGATTCCATGGAGGGTAGGGATATGTGTTCAAAGGTGTTGAATATTAACTTATTCCAGTAAAAGGTCACTTTCTACCAAATCAGTTTTGTTTTTACTTTCTACATTTAAGATTCATTCTTAACTTTGTTTCTGGATAATATTTTAGAACATTTTCAATGTTGGCACAAAACATATTATTTTGCAGGGCTGGCTTTGCCCTAAAACCTAGCTGTATATATATCTTACAGTTATTTTTCTTTTGAAGATCAGACTTGTATGATGTTTTTGTAAACACATCTACTGGACAGATTTCTATAGCACCAGAAGCCAAAGGTATCATTTTCTGAAAGTAAAATATGGACTTTGAAGTCATTCTGAAGTGTAAAACAATATGGTGAAAGATATGCTATCATAAAATTTGACAATTTCATTATGTTTTTAATTCAATTAGCATGCTCAGAATTCCACAAATTACATGTATGTAGAATTTTCAATATTTAAAGGAAAAAATGGATAAGTTATGTAACTTTATGACAAAAAAATGTCTATGAAAGGATCGAGTGACAGAATATCCTCCTTTCTTAATTTTCACATTTTTTTCTTTAGTGACTCATTCAAGGCATATGCCATTATTTTCTTCTTCTTTTAGAATCTTTTGCCATGGGTAAGCTGCACAAAGATATTGCAAAACACATGGTACAGTGTGCAGAGTCAGATGAAATGACTGAGGAACAACTTATCAAGGTAAACGTTTAATAGATAGGAAAAGATGAAATGACTGAGGAACGACTTATCAAGGTAAACTTTTAATAGATAGGTAAAGATGAAATGACTGAGGAACAACTTATCAAGGTAAATGTTTAGACAGGTAAAGATGAAATGACTGAGGAACAACTTATCAAGGTAAACGTTTAGATAGGTAAAGATGAAATGATAGGGGAACCACTAATCAAGGTAAATTTTGATCCTGAATTCTTTATATTCTGCTGCAGGAAATATCAAAAAAGACTGGAGAACTGCTAAATAACCTAAGGAGCCTCGCTACTGAAACCAAAGATGGAAAACATGTGATTCAACTGGAAACTCTGAAGGAACGCAAAATGGCACCTGCCACAGAGAGTTTCCTGTTTTCATTGGCAGCTTGTGAGGGATTAGTGGACGTTTAACATTGACTAGGAACAGTGCTTATGTGTGTGTGTGTCATTGTAATGCAATAAACTGAATAAAATAACAGTAGAACCACAGCTTTTCAGAACGACATTGATATGGATTGCTGGAAAGATCAATCGAACACTCAGATACAGACTGTAGATGTGAAATTTTATCTTGTTGATAAGAAAAGGACCAAGGTGAATGATTGATAATTGAGATATGTTCCATCAGATTCAATTAAAACCTCAATAAATTTAATCAAGTAGTCATTTTTTTTTTATCTTACATGTCTACACACATCAAGAATTAGGATGCCTATGACCAATGACAGACTATGATCAAATATATTATCACCATCCAAATGATGAATACTTTCCCAGTGTCTTTATTTTTCATTAATATGTACTATATTCATGGGCGTAGTCACGGGGGTGGGGGTGGGGGACAGTGGGGGCACTAGCCCCCCCCCTTTCAGATGGGGGGGGCAAGAGTATGTCTGTGCCCCCCCCCACTTAATGTAGAACAAAATCACAGCTATGTTGAAATTATATTAAACCTCATTTTATGGCAAATTTATTTTATTTTCAGCAACAACTGAGTATGCATTTCTTCTGAAGTAATAGTAATGTAATATACTTTAGAATATATCCTAGCCAATCCGAATCTCATCAAGATTAGTAATTTCTACAAGATAGCTGCAGTATTGGAGATTCTGATTTCGGTATACCTGTGATGAATGTCAATCAACTTTAAATCCTCTCATTCAACTTAGACAGCGGCTTGATATTAAACGTTTTACATCTTAATCATGGCCGTAGGAATCGGGGGGAGGGGGTGCCCCCTAACAATTTTGCCGATATATAGAATACTAAAGAAAACATAGCGACTATATGATTGTGCTTCCTCAATCATAACGTCTGATGACCTTGTCACATTAAAATCATCCTAACATACTTTTGGTAATGTATTTTAAATTTCATGTAAATATCCCGTGGGGAACCCCTTCGTTTTAAATGCGTTATTACTGTACATATCCTTCACTGAACCTCAATTCACTGGACCTTAAAACCCGCCAGTCCGTGCCAGTTAGTTTGGACGCGGCAGTCCAGAGAGGAGGACGCCTCTATCTCCTCTTATATCTTTGTTTTTTACATGTATGTACCCTTGTGATTGATGGCAGTGCTTGCCCTGGTCTGATATAATTTTTAGCAGTGTAATGGTCAAGCTTTTCTGAGGTAAGGCTTATATTTATAATTCTATTTTAGTTATTTCCTACATACTATTCATTTGTCCTAAAACATCCAGTCACCGCATTTCTCATCATTTTTAGCATGTGTGTTTCCTTTAATTTGATTTCTATCTATAGTAACACGTATTTAAATATTTCAAAGTACGGTGTACAATTTCTGTCAAAATTGTTGTCCGTAAAGTAGCAATTCGCAATATTGCATTTGTGTAAGAGTTGTATGTATAATTTAAACAACTCATGTGTGTGTAATTGAGTCTTATCTAAGACGTGTCCATTATCTATAAATTTGATAATGAGTGTAATGTGTATTTGTGTAAAGCCACTAGAGCTTGTAAGTAAAACTTGTATGTATATGTTGGAGCAGGTTCCATCCCTATGTCAGAGTTTTTGTACAACAGTGAGGCCACCCAGTGCCTAAAGTCCGCCCATGGCGTGTAGTAGATAGGCCAGCCAGCTTTGGAACCTAGAGTGCATCCTCCAGCCTGTGAGGTGGAAAAGCCAGCGGCGAGACGGGAAATTACGACAAACAACAACAATGACATTTGTATATAGTATCATCATTAATTAAACATGTAAATTGTAAACAAAAGCATTTGAGTTGTATTTTAATTAGTTAAAAGATAAATTCGCTCGACAATCTGTGACAGACCTTTTTTTTTTATTTTGCTTGTAAGGAATTTTGGTAGTTGATAGTGCCCCCCAACTGAAAATATCTGGTTGTGCCCCCTCAAAGTGAAATTGCTAATTTCTTTATATTACACGTTTTACATCTTTCTTGGATTTTAGCCCCCCCCCCCCCCTTTAAGTTTGTGACTACGTCTCTGATATTTCACACAATTTCAACATTTGTTAGATAAATGTTGATAAGGCTGTGTTGGTTAAAGTAAATGCATTGTAGATATAACTTTGATTAGGTATTTAAGTTTGTCCAGGTGTATACATGGGTTCGTTGTATAAAGGAGATGCCTTGTGAGGGACAGTTACGTGTCCAGTGTCTCCTCGTAACAAACCCCATCCCCCTCCCCCTTGAATTATTTATATTAATTAAAAGTAAAAGGTAAGGTTTTTTTGAATTAAGCAATAGAAAGAGAAAACATTGATATACATGCATCTATACAGAAGTATATACATATGTATATATCTTTATATATATTGCCACATACTTGTACAGAAGATGCATATATCTCTATGATGACATTCCTGTCATGCTAATGCATAGTTTTATAAACTAAAGTTAAATGATAAATGTCTTTTATAAAGAATCCACACTTTGCAAAAATTATGTCCCTTGACTGCCATCTTTTGGGGAAAACCCATAGAATTCTCACAGTGGTTTTTTATAGATTTTTTTGGTTTGTAAATTTGCCATTTGACAGAAAAAATCGTTTGCATCTTGTTTTTTTTTTTTTTTTTTTTTTTTAATTTTTTTTTTGATAGCCCCAGAATGGGCCTAAAATCAAAATTATATTTTTAAAAATATTTTTTTAATAATTCGAGGGGTCACAACTTGAAAGAACCTGAAATTGGCAATTTTTTGGCTGATCATCAGAACTAATAACCACCCTTCACTACCCCCTTTAATTTGTTGGGAGAAAAACCCTTGCGAGTAATAATATAATTATTCATCGAATGCCATCAGGCTTTTGATCCATAAAAAGCGTATATGAATATTGAAATCAGGTCTTTAACAGGCGCAGATCCAGGATTTTTTTTAGGGGGGGGGGGGCAACTTCAACTGTAACAGAAGTCAGACTCGGAAATTTTTGACAAGCAATTAAAAAAATGTTATCAACTACCTCAAACCTGAAAAAAAACGTATTTCGTGGTGGTGGTGATGGGAGGGAGCACTTACCTTAGTCTAAGTGTAATCTTCTTAGATACATTATTCCTTTTACCATTTTAAGAGGGATCCTTGATTCCTGGGACGGGAAGGGGGTTCCATAGGATTAATAATTTTGCAAATATATAATCTTTACAGCAGAGAAAAGTTCATTTTCTTACGATTGTGTCTCATCAATCTTCTACAGGTCCAGGAAGGGATTTCATTGGGGGCACAATTTAACATAAATTAAAAAGTCTGTTAATTGAAACTAATCGGATCAAAATTTTCGTAGGGGACGACCATTTGAATCGGGGAGGGGGGTTGCTAAACATTGAAAACAAATAATCTGTCTTCGAAAATGTTGAAAATAAATAAACTGTCCTTGTCTGGTGATTACCCCCCCCCCCCCGAAATAATGTAGAGTTTGGGAGCTTGGCAGTTTTCAATTTCTTTTTTGTTTGTTTGTTTGTTGTTGTTTGGATTTTGTTTGTAACTTTGTTTTAACTTTGTTTTGAGGTTTTTTGCAAATTGTCAAACTTTTTTCAATGCAGAAGAAAACAAATAATCTGTCCTTGATCATCTTGAAAATAAACAATCTGTTCTTGACTGACATATTTTTATAATTAATTTGCCAGTTCCCGCTCTTGGTCCTCACCTTTGAATCAAATTTAATTATCGTCCCCTTAGATTTATTTAAATTTAATTTCATATTTATAGTAGGCCTATATGTTGGCAAAATTATTGAAGAAGGGTGTTCCGGAGGAGGGGGTGTTCAAACAGGGTCTGCGCTGTGTATACGAAGTCCTTGCAAACGGATCGGGATCGGAGTACTAAATTATTCCAGCAGACGACGTTGGATTAAAAAAAAATATTATAATGTATTTCATCATATATTTTGCATCTTGTGGGTGATCAGTGACACTCAAGTCCATAAATGTGAAGAATATGGACTCTTACCAATGTAAGTAGGGTTATTTCTTTAAGAATGAAATAAAATCGCCTTTTCTATAAGAAAAGGCATCTGCGGCAGACTTAGGATACATTTGCTGTATGCTTGAGTTGATAATGATTGTATTATGCAAATAAATAAAATATTTAGAGATAATTGTTCATGTTTTGTAAAATTTATAATCTTTTTAGGACTTTTTTTCTCAAGTGTCAATATTTTATACCTTTTGGTTAACATGTGCATAAAAGTTCCACTATGATTATCTGCATTTCAAGATGTCGTTTTATAATATTGAAACTTTTTTTCAGTGATCATTCTTGCCAGCTTTATGATAAGTCAGACTTCGGTAAGAAACAAGTTTATTTTTGCATGTCTTTTGACAATACAGACAAATTATACAGTAAAGTTTGAACAATAATTTGACCCTAAGAATTTGCACGAATGATTAATTAAAGGGATCTAATTATAAATATAATAACTAATATGCACAAAAAGACGTACAACACAGTTTGGGAGATAACTCTTTGGATTTCAATTGAAAGTTTAACTTGACGTTAGATTTGACGTAAGTTATTTAGCGTCAAAATGACGAATGAAACGATCCCGATGTACTTAAAGGATGCAATAAATCCCCTCTCCTCCGTAAAAAGGAAGAAAAGACAGATTATCCCCTAAATTTCTTTAATTTAAATGTAGTTAATTAATTCTTTAAATTTGTGATTACACCAAGGCATTTTTTATCTGAAAATCTTTATGCTACACTGTTTTTTTCCCCATTACAATGTAGGATATGTATGTTTTTCCTCCCCTTAGCATAGTTACTCCTCCTCTTTTCAGAACAATTATATTTTTTTCACAAATACAGAGATACATTTGCAGTGAGTTTTCTGAACGCAAGAACTGAAAGCCAAAGTATATACAAATTAAAGTAAGTATCAAATGTGGAAAAGAATTGTTTACTGAAATTAATATAACATCCCATTGAGAAAATCTTTTACTATTTAAGCAGTTTCAGTTCGCATTTCCTTGAATAAAAGCAAATAGTTTAATTTTGGTTATAACGCGTCATTTGATTGGATAAAAAATTAGAATATATCGTATAACCTGGGTTGCCTACGTCACAATGACTTACGTCAAAAACGTATCAATCCGCTTGACGTAACATTTAAAATACATACAATTTAAAGTCATTTTCGAAGTAGAAATTGTCTTATTTTTTACACTTAATGATGGAAAATTAAATTCGCGGTTTATAAAGCGTAAACTGCCCCAACCCAGGTTATACTAGTATAACTTGGGTAGCTATTAAATTCATTCCTTAAATAGTTTAATTTTGGTTGTAACGCGTCATTTGATTGGATAAAAAATTAGAATATATCGTATAACCTGGGTTGCCTACGTCACAATGACTTACGTCAAAAACGTATCAATCCGCTTGTTGTTACATTTAAAATAACAAACTGAAGGCATGTTGAAGGAGAAAATGTCTTTCTTTTTTTTTTTTTTTTTTTTTTTTTTTTTTTTTTTTAACACTTAATGATGGAAAATTAAATTATAAGGAATGAATTTAATAGCTACGCAAGTTATACTGGTATAACCTGGGTTGGAACAGTTTACGCTTTATAAACCGCGAAGCGATTCAATCAAATGCAATTTGATACATTGAAGTTAATATGGACGAATACGTAATTTCCATTTTAATTATTGAAACAACAGAATATCCGAGGGGGGCACCCCTCTCCTTTGAAATAACCTATATATATTCCATTTTTATCACAGGAGAGTTGTACATACAAATAAAATTCAATGCAAGTAGAATTCATATAGAGGTGTGAAACTGAATTCTTGTAAATGCGTGTATGGACTACAAACCAGACACTTGGACATAAAATCCTTAGAAAATTAGTTTTATTCAAAATAAAAATCAATTAAAAATTTATATAAAAACAAAACATATTCGTATTCAATATTCAATATGAATACATGAATGAACGAAGAAGTACATGTACTTCAGGGATTCAGTATACCAATTATATCTGCAGACATAACCGATGTTTTTCAAGTTCGAATGGTCTGTAGTGCAGAGAAGGAAGGGGGAGGAGGAGTCTTAAAATTTCAGAAACTGTTTATACCTCTTTATTTCAATGCAAATGTAAAGTTTTAAGTTTGTGATAAATATAATCTAAATTACATTTTAGAAGTAACAGATATTTTCCAGCTTGGCATTTTTATGTTGTATTTGTAGATTCATAGCATTGTTTTCGTCCCAAGTCTGAAAGATGCTGTGAAAAACGTAACTTATGGAGATAGGGGAAGGGGGGATTTTCCGCTTTAAATTCAAAACGTGTCGTTTAAAAAAAAAAATTATCAAGATTATTTTGACAACCAGTTACACGAAGGAAGTATTTTTTCCAAATTTAAACAAATGAGTCACCAAATTTTGACAGTTTGGCTAACCTGATATTTTTGAAAATAGAGAATTTTACAGTTAGTCGGTTGAAAATTTCTTCTCCTCGTGAACAGCCAAAGGGGGGTAACTTTTGGAACTTCCTGTCCAAATACGACTCGAACGATTTTATCTGAAATGTGCATACACATTGTCTTTATAGTCATATATAAAATATAGAAAAATTGCGAAATTTAAACGACAGAAAATTTCTGGGGGTGGGTGTGTTGTACATCCTTAAATTTAATGTAAAATTTGATTTAATTTGTTGCTGATATTATTTGAATCTCATCTCTTTAATTTTACACGTACATGTACAGATACGATGCTAAACTTTTGCAAGGATTGGGAAACATCTTTTGGAAGAAAAAAAAATCTATTTTCACACCCAAAAGATTAGGTCTCTTTTTTTCTTTTTGCTTTATGTGTGGCTAATATGACTGAATAGATACTACATTAATATGGCAATGTTTATAGAAGTAGCATTTACGACTTAAATTTAAAGTCAGACGAGGCATTTTTCTATAATATATATAAATTTACCCAAGAACTTGTGATTGAAGTACTGCTACTTTAAGAAGTTTCATCACAAAAATTGAGATACATTATCAGGCATTTGTGCAAGATCTAATCCAACTGGATATCACTTGAATTGCTGATATCACAATTTTTAGTATGTATCTTTAAAGTAAACTTTCCTTATAATATTTATGTAGTAAGATTCCGCTATCACCTGTCTATGGCGTTTATGTCTCCCAACTCATTCGATACTCAGGAGCATTCTCTGAATACTATCGATTTTTAAACCGAGACAGGCTACTGCCAGATAAGTTGATGTAACATTGATTTCAACAACATCGTTTTAAGTCAGCATTTCGTAAATTCTATGGTCGTTAAAATGACCTTGTAAGCAAATAAAACCTATTATTTGGTCGTAATTTGACTGAGATATTTAATACCAATTGCTAGGCCTTTGCTTTTTTTTTTTTTTTTACTGAATTTGACTACGGAATGTTCCGTCTACCTGTAGTGATCAATACATAACATTCCATGGGTCCGTTTTTTATGCCCTGTTCACAGATGTGTATTATCTGTAGATTTTTTTGAGATCGATTACTGCTTGTTATCTTCACCTTTTTCATATTGACCAATGAAATCACTGCTGCAATTATGGGTACGTTTACATACGGCACCCATAATGAAATCGTGTTCACTATGTGTGGTAGATTTATTAATAAAATACGATAGATCCTGAGTAGCAGAGGCGAGTTAAATATATTCCAGAATACTGACAAATATCGCCAAGATGTCGATGGATAATTCATAAAGTTAAACAGTGATTTGACAACACTTGCCATGTAAAAAAATTAGTTGTTGTTTCAACGCGGAACAAAACAATGCTTTTTTTTTTTTTACAGAGGGTACTAAAACTTTGATAAGGATTCATGGATAGAATGACAATAAATTATGGGTCTTGTTTTGACAGCGGCGTGTCTTGTAATTTCTTTATTAATTGGTCGATTAATTGCAGATTTCAGATTCAAAACGCTTCCTAAAAGTTTACCTTTGGGAAAAAATTTAAAAGCATATGTCTAATAAAAAAAAAATATCGAATAATCGGTTATAGAAAATTGTAACCGGTTAACCGACCGATTAGTCGTTGCCATCCCTACTTTTAAGAGTTAAGAAATTATCACAAGACAATTATTATTACAATTATTTTTAGTGTGTTACAAAGAGATACAAAATCAGATATTCTAGGACCAGAACTTTAAAAAAATATCCGTATCTGATGAATATTATACAATTATTGCTGGTTTTTGAGGTCAATACGATGATTTAGACACCTGAGGAGTATAATATTCACTGAACCCGAAGGGCGAGGTGAATATTGTACTTCGAAGGTGGCTAAATCATCGTATTGACCGAAAAAACAGCAATAATTGTTTTATTATATGATTCAATGATTAAATGACACACACTCATTAAGCAATTCGTGCCATCTTACTTGTTCGCATCTACTGAAGTACTAGCCGAACATAATAAGAGAAACGGGGTTAAAAAAAACCAGGTGTATTATTTTGTAATTTTTAATTTTAGTTTAGGTGCAGTGTAGAAAAAATAAATGTCAGGCACATATATAAGATCTATTTTGAAAAAGCGGGCATTAAAAGGGGAAAAAAATGACAACTTACCTGAAAACAAATCTTTGACTACCCCCCCCCCCCAATAAAAAAGGAAAAAAATTCTCCCAAATCAAAATTTTATTTGGTGGAATGTAAAGGTCCGTAACTTTTTGGAGGGGAGGAGGGCTTTCATTGAAATTTTTTATCCTTAAAATAAAAACTTAACATTCTCAAAAGGTGGGGAGAGGGACAGGCCTCCTGCACCCCCCCCCCCCCGATCCCTCACCCAAGAATCTGTGTCCCTTAATGTTATGTTCATATGAGTGGACGTCAGGTGCAAGTGAAATAACTTTCCAAAACTATTTGCATCAATTTGGAATTTCCCTATCTATTTTTGGTCCAATGTAGAATAAATAATTCCTTATATTGACCTGGAAGGTCACGTGCAGGTCAATTTAACGTAGTATTTTTCTAACATTGTTGGATCTCAGCCAATCATAGAGATGGGAATTATTCAATCATATAATAATATGAATTATACAGCTTCCAAAGATACTGAAAAAAATCACTTTGATATTTGCAGATGAACACGGGAAAGACAAAACCGACATTGTACAACTCCAAAGACCTGACCAAACGTGAAGAGTTATCACCACTGCTTTTAAACGGTTTGTAGGGAGACTTCATACTATTATAAGTATTGCGTACCCCCTCCTGGTGTTCAGTGTTAACTAATATGTAAGGGATATATAAGATAAGATGACCTATATATTAAGTCAGAGATTGGAATGGATGGCAATCCATTTCTTAAATCAAGTTCAAAGTAATAAAAATGTCTAGACGATAACTTGAGAACCCTTTGAAATTAAGACTTAAGATATTTTGAACAGTATCATAGAAGATGGACGAAATGTTATAAGCCATGTAGACTGACCCTTGATATTTCGCACATTATACATGTATCCGATCAATCAATAATGTTCCCTGTTATAAGAAAACCAAACTTAGAGGGGAAGACATATGTTTGTGTTGATTAACAAATACCCAATTTATTCAAAGAAATATCAAGGTCATAGCTCACAGGTGTCATCTGATGACACCCTTCCCCAACAAACATAACCATCCTATTTCTACGGATAAATATATAGGATTTTGTGACAATTCAGGAAATAAAGAAGTTTTTGTGCGATGACCTATACCCAATAACTTTAATAAACAGTTAATTGTGATATTTATGCATGCATTATTACTTATATATTATATTACTCATATATTATATTACTTATATATTATACATGTATTACTTATATAATACTTATATATTACTTAGATAGGAGGAATCTTGACTTTGAAGGCAGTATCCAGAATGCAGACGACGCCAAAGTTGTGATCCTGACATGTAAACCGAATATGGCGGCAAAAGCCAAGGATGGCCAACTGCTTTACAAACAAAAGGTCAAGGAAAATATACGTTTCATCATTGGGTGGATGCCAAATGAAAAACAGAAATATATTATTTTAGGTGAATACAGCCTTCATCTGTTTTCATTTTCAGAATATTGCAGTATTATTTAGGCCTATAGTATGTTAACTTTGTTTTGCAGAGTATGATAGATCTAGACAACGCGAGGAGTGCATGCAAATTCAATTTAAATTTTACTGTTTATACTTAACTTCTTTTACTCCTTGACCCTATTCTAAAACAGTTTATCATTATGAGGTCACTTGCAATTGATAGGTACATGTATCGCACAATTTTTTTTTTTTACAAGTAAACGAAAGTTTTTCAGAGTTGAAAAGATAAACATTTTTTTATTTCAAAACGGTATATAAAGCAGCTAAAGCAAATTATTAAATTTACTTATGACAATCACTTCTGGCACTGTAATTAATGTCTGGAAACTCAAAACGACTTACATTCATATCTTAAACACTCCCATGTACCTATTGTAAACCCTTTTAAAATCATTAATTAATAACCTGATGACAAATGATCATAAGATTGAAACATGCTTGTATAAGTAATAACTACAACAACTAATTAAGACTTAGACTAAAGGAAGTTTTTAAAATATTTTACTCGTAATTTTCATATATGTTATCAATATGGAAAAAAAATTCATCGAACTGCTAAAAAAATAACGTCTCGTTTCCCCATGTGCACTTTGTTTCCAACACAACCACAAATAGATCGGTTGCTCCCGCGACCGGTAAAAATAATGGAGAAGGTAACATTTTAATGTTGAACTTTCGGACTTTAGAATGTTGCAAAATGTATCTCAATTTAATGATTATTGATACATTTTAAAATTCAATCATCTTCTGTAACAAATTCAAATTTGATGACTTAAGTTTGAATGTTGTGTTAAATTATTCATTTTTTCTATTTTACTTCTTGGCATCTGACACATAAACTGTTTATATTTACAGTGCAGGGGGCAATAAAATCCATGTGCACAATATTAGCGGTTAAAATCAAAGTTTCAACAAAATATTTCACCTGTGGAGACAAGATAAATTTGGCACAAATATCACTAATACAGTTTTCTAAAATCATCCATAACCATTCCCGCCATTTTCAAGATGTTTGCTGGTAAAACAAAATAGCAACATTTCCATATCTCATGGCCGCACGTACATGTAAGGTCTATATAATTTATCATAGTTTGGCTGTTTGTGAAATATTTTGGTATCATTAAATTCTGTGCAAGATATTTTAGTAATCATGCTTTAAAAGAAAGGCAAATGACGTTCTGATAACGTAATTTAAAAATAATATTAAAAAGAGAAATCTATATGTATTAAATTATCGTGACACAATGGTGCAATTTATTGCCTTGAAAATTGGGGTTCAGCGTAACTTTTTTTTTTAAAATTGCAAACAGTCTACCAAATACAGTACGATCCAGCCAATAAGTCTTGGAATCGTATCAACATTGACGGAGTTTGCTAACACATTAGTGCATGAACAAGTTCATCCGGTATTCACAATAAAGCATGCTATGGATAAAGTAAAGAAGATTTCATCTTTTCTTAAATATCCAAGACAAACGCATGTGATGGCTTGTGACCCACATTTATTTGTCTTTGCCAAACAGTTACATAGGAATGACTGGAAATTGAAGGTTTTTTGTTAGTTTAATTTGTTCGGTTGCATATTGAAATGACAGCTATTAAGCTACTGGGTAATATGTTGGAAGGAACCGGCTGGGTGTAGAATAAGCTTAAGTAGACATTATAACTTTTGGAACTTGAGAGTCCTTTCTCAAAGTTTATTGAAATGGCAGCTATTAAGCTACTGGGTAATTCGTTGGAAGTTACTCCTTATATCGCAGGTTCGAATCCCACTGCGGGACGTGTAGACCGGTCGTTTGAATGAGGCCGTATAAACCGAGGTCCCGTGTCGCAGTAGGTGCTGGCACGAAAAAGATCCCTCACTGCTCAAAGGCGCTAAGTGCCGAGTACAGGTCTAAATTTGCAGCCCTCCACCGGCAAGTGGTGGCGTTTCAATATGAGTGAAAAATTCTCGAAGGGACATTAAATAAACAAACAAAAGCAAATCTTGGAACCTGTGAGTCATTCCTCCAAAAAAATTCCTAAAAGTAATTTACATGTAGTAGTATTTTAGAATGGGAAAAACTATATGAAGAAAAATTACGAGATTTGTATAATTTGGATACCGAAAATGTTGTCAAAATTGGAATTGCAGATCTATAAAATATCAAAATTAGCAACAACGTCAAAAACATGGGAAAGTGACGCCGTATTGAAAATCGTGATTGCCGTTTTGAAAATGGTCAAAACTTGAATAGAAAAGTTGAAATTTCTGTAAAATCTTAGAAAAGTAGAGATTCAATTTTGTTCTAATTATGGCCCTTGGGTGTAGGACGGGACCTTAATAAGTGATCAAACTTTTACAAGGATTAAAATAAAATCCTGTCAAGGAGAGCAAGGACATAGTACTCATATTAATATTCAAGCATCTCCTCAGGTAGAACAGATTCAATTTTATTCGAATCATGACGCCCGGAAGTTCAGTGGATCAAATTTTTACTGGGGAATATATATAAGAAAAAAAATTCTATTCAAGAACAGCAAGGTCATGGTTATCATACTGATATACATGTACAACAATTCTTGTGTAGTGCAGATTCAATTTTTTCAAGTCATCCCCGGGCTGGTAGGATGAGGCCACAACGAAGGATAAAAATTTACATAAGAATATCTTTTCTGGTCCAGTGGTTCATGAGGAGAGGATTTTTACAAAGATTCCGTCAGATTTTCACTAATTCTTAATTATCACCCTTTAAAGAGGGCGTAACTCTTCATTTAAAAAAAAATTTGAATCCGCTTTATTCATGGATGCTTTGTGACAAGTTTGACTGAAATTGGTCCACTAGTTCTGAAGAAGAAAATGAAAATGTTAAACGTTTACAGTCACGGACAGACTGGCTGACGAAGGGACAGACAAATGGACAGACGCCGGACAAAATGTGACCAAGAAAAACTCACATGAGCCCGGACAAATGAATGAACGAAAGTTTAAATCCTAATTTTTTATTTTGCCTATTTTAAACTCGTCTATAAAGCAATTTAGCTTCTTAAAAAAACTGTGATTTTTTTAAATTTCAGATTCAAGGTTTAAAGACTCTGAGATGTTTGGTTCGAGCAATGTTAGATGGTTGAGGAAGAAAGGTTTAAAGCATATGCCGCGTTCGTTTATTACAGCACTGGGAAATACGAATATCCAAGCTTCTGTTACGAATAGTCAGTATTTCAAGCCCATATGAATTACATTGTTTTTATAAAAGCCGATATATTACAACGTTTATCTGACATATACTAAATATTTTTTTGTTCTTTGCTTTGTATAGCATAGGGATCGCTTTTTTTCGTCTGCCCTTCCATCTGTCTCTCTGTTTAGAAGTCTACGATGAAATATTGAGATAACGAACAGTATTCAAGTTCAAAGTCCATTTAGACAATGCATACCGGGAGCGGAGCAAACACGGACCTCCAAAACATTAGTGGTTGGATCAGGTGCCACGGAGGAGTGAGCATCCCCTACCGACCGGTCACACCCGCCATGTGCTCCTTGTCATGATCGGGAAAAACGGGAAAAATCCGTAGACAATTCAGTGTGTAAATAATGGACTAACAATTAATATGAAGAACGTCAGTCAGCATTTGACTTAATGATAAGTTGTATTTGCTGACAAGGTTATTGTATCGACCATAAAACTTGCGAAATGATGACTTCAAATGAGACTGTTGATATCCTTGTTTCAACTTGTTTGTCAATACTGAATAGCTTGCCTCGTTTTAGAAATTGTTCATACGCAGAGCATGCTCTTGCGTATGGAATCAACTAGGAGACAAAACCCCCATATGCAGGTGAAAAGGGTATTTTGCTTCTTAAGTAAGGGAAGTTGCCTTATTTCAAATCACTTCAACGTGAAAATTTACGAAAAAATGCTTTAGTTGTGACTAAGATACAAATATTGCAATGAGGTTTAATGATCCGTTCAAAAGCATTTTAACACCATGTTAACACAAAAATGTGTGTGAAATATATCTAGATAACGAACAGTATTCAAGCTCAAAAGTCCATTATACAATACAAAATAGGAGCAGAGCAAACACGGACCTCCAAACATCAGAGGTGGGATCAGGTGCCATGGAGGAGTGAGCATCCCCTGCCGACCGGTCACACCCGCCGTGTGCTCCTTGTCATGATCGGGAAATAACGGAAAAATCCGTCGACAATTCAGTGTGTAAATAATGGCCTAACAATTAGTATGAAAAACGTCAGTCAGCATTTGACTCAATGATAAATTGTATTTGCTGATAAGGTCATTGTATCGACCATAGAACTTACGAAATGATGACTTTAAACGAGACAGCTGATATTCTTGTTTCATCAACTTATTTGTCAATAATTTACCTCGTTTTAGAAATTGTACATACGTAGAGCATGCTCTTGCGTATCGAATCAACTGAGAGATATATACCCCGTATGCAGGTGATGAAGGTATATTGCTGCATAAGTAAGGGAAGTTGACGATTGAAAAGTTAAAGTCATCACGTTTATCATAAAGCTTGGTTGTTAGATTACCATTAACGTCTTTTTCAAGTAAAATATCCAAATATAAACAGATGTGTCAGACTCTGTGGTATCTTTTATCTCAAGTTCACCAGGATATATCGTATCGACATAAGAATGAAAATAGCCATTGTTAATTGACAATACGTCGTCGATATATCTAAATGTCGAGTTGAACGCCACAGCAAGTGTTTTCTTCTTTTCACGTACAAGATTTTGGACAAATTCTGCTTCATATGAATACAAAAAAGGTCTGCTAATAACGGGGCGCAATTGGTACCCATAGAAATTCCAATAGATTATTGGAAGACCTGGTCTCCAAAAACCACATAGATATTGTTAATCAGAAGCTCAAGCATCTTTTTAATGTCGAATGAAACCTTAATATATATATATACTTAGCCGAGCGGTCTAGCGCGCTGTCCATGTACTGCTAAGAGACAGGTTCCGTTGGTCGAGAGTTCAACCCCGGGCTGGGGCGGAAGTGGGTATCCTTGTAAAAGTGAATTTCTTTGTGCTTTCTCTCTCTCTCTCTCTCTCTCTCTCTCTCTCTCTATATATATATATATATATATAGAGATACTCGACGTATTTGATGTTGTGTGACTGGAAAAATTACATACGTTAAATACAGTGTTAATTTACTACTACGGATTTGAATTTATTTTAATGTAAAGGTTAAAGGTCCGTGAATCAATTAAATCTTTTTGTCATCGATCAGCAGCAGGATTTTTGTTTTTTTTCAAAATCTTTTCGTCATCGGGGTCGATCAACATCATGATTTTTGTTTGATATTAGGCCAAGGAATATATATATATATATATATATATATATATATATATATATATATATATATATATATATATATATATATATATATATATATACAAAAGAAATGGATCTAATTTTTGAAAATAATGCCCTGTTCACACGGAGAGTTTAATTCGAATTAAACGTTACTGCGAATTAAATTTGAACCGCGTTCACACGAGGAATTTAATGCGAATTATTTTAATTCGAATTAATTTACTGCGCATTAAATTACTTCGCATTAGCTCCGTGTGAACGCTAAGCGAAGCTAATTCGAATTAAATTTCGACGCATGCCACATGTTGGTGGTCAGATATAGGTACTTATTGCTATTTTTAGTGGAAAACAAAGAAAGATTATGTTAATTGTTAATCACTGAAATGTGTATTGACACAATGACAGAATGTCATATGGGTCTGCTCCGCATAAGGTGACGTGATTTGAAAATAACGTCATAATAGCCTTACTAAATAGCCTTACTGTAGAAATAAAATTTTAATTCGCATTGGTTTACTTCGCATTAGTTGTCGTGTGAACGCAATTTAATTCGCATTATTTTAATTCGCGTTATTTTACTTCGCATTAATTTACTGCGAATTAAACTCTCCGTGTGAACAGGGCATTAAATTCATTTCTTATATTTACATTATTTTTCTGATGAGTTGCCCCAATTCAACTGTCATTTTTAAAGCAAAACAGTTTGCTCTTTAGTTTTGACGTCAAGACTGAAGTACGGTATTATGACGTAACAATAGAGATATTTATGCTCATCCATGGTAGTTCATGAGAAAATGAACAGTCTTCTTATTGCGAAGAATCTTAAGAAAAAGTATTTGGATATATATATATATATATATATATATATATATATATATATATATATATATATATATATATATATATATATATATATATGGTGAGAGAGAGAAGTGTAATCCCGCGCCATTTGTATTTGTTGCAGTCTTCAAGGTCACCTTTCTTAGGCGGCTTGATTATGCCTTTCTTCCAGTCATCTGGAATATCCTCTTTATCCCATATATCTTGGATGATACGCTGCAACATGTGGTGTGTTTCTTTTCCTTCTGCTTTCAGCATCTTGGGACATACACCATGCTCTAATGGGCTCGACCATTCTTCAGTTTATGGATTGCATTTGTAACTTCATTCATTTTTATCTTCCGTCTCTGTCTCATCATTGTCAGGGAGTATCAATGAATCGGTTCAAAATCTTCTCAAAATGCTCTCTCCACCTCTCTAGTTTTGCCAATTCCTCTGTAATCGCTGAGTCATCTTCTGCGTTTACAGGGAGGTCTTGGTTGATCACCTCTTATTTTCTTCGAGATCTGGTAAACGGTTTTCATGTATTTCCTTTCATCTGCTACATATGCTTCCTCAGCAAGTTGCTCCGTATAGTGGCGCTTATCTCTCCTCGCTGACTTCTTCACTTCCTTATCTTTCTTTCTGTACGAGGCGACTGCCCTTGACTTCAGTCATGATGGACCACAGGTCACAGTAGCCTAGTGGTAGGGCGCTCGCTTCGTTCGCCGCGCCGCTTCAAAACTACGACGTAAACATAGGTAGTGACTGTTGCTTGGTCAAGCGCACGGCATTAGAAGTGAAAGTCACGGGTCACTATATAAGTGAAAAATTCTCGCATGGGACGTAAAACAACATAAAATCAGTCAATCAATGATGGATCATGTGTCTTTGGCACATCTCTTGCAGTCGTAGACTTCTGCAACAACAATTCATTACCTGATGGAATTTGTCGATATTGATAGCTGTCGCGTTTTGGAGTGTGCTGTATCGGTTCCTGAGTGTGATGTTAAATTCTTCTCTGACACCTGGGTTTTTGAGCTTGGTAACATCGAATCGCTTGCTCTTACTAGTCCCGATCTTGGCCTTTGTAGCTTAAGACTTATATTTGCTATAACAAGGTTGTGGTCACTATACCAATATCGGCATGGCGCATTGCTTGCACGTCCTTTAGAGAGTGCCTTCATTTACTGTTTATCAGAATGTGATTGATTTGGCTTGTGACATTCCATCTGGTGATGTTCAAGTCAGCTTGTTTATGGTTGTATGAGCAAAAAGAGTGCCATCAATGACAATTTCCTCGCACATGTTGATGAGCCTCTCGCCAGCGTCTGTGAGGTCGCCCATTACATGTGGACCCATTACTCTTCTCATGTTGTGGTTACCCAACTTTTGCATTGAAATCGCTCATCAGTTGTTTAACATCATGCCTTGGCGTGTCATCAAGTATTGCTTGTAGAGAGCTGTAGAAGTTGTCTAATGCTTTTTCTTGTGCATTGTCAATAAGCACTCGCAATGGAGACCTTCGTATACCTGGAGTTGAGTCCATTGATAGGCTTCCACTGAAGGACGGTATTGGGAAACTTCTGTCTGATGAGAAGAGCTACTCCCTCATGATGGTTGTTATCATTTTGTCCAGACCATATAATGACTTCCCCTGAGTTCAGTCACTCTTTTCCTGTTCCTGTCCACCTGATGTCACTCATGCCCAGCAGTGATAAGTTGTACTGTTTCATCTCATTTATCGCTTGAACAAGTCTTCCGGTTTGGTATAGCATTCGGACATTCCAGCACCCAACTCGGATGTTTTAGTGTCGGGAGATCTGCTATAGTGCTGTTTACCGTCATAATTCCAGATGTATAGCTTGCTTCACTCCATCTACTAGATGAAATATAATTCCTTCTCGTCGTTTCCGTAGCATATGTGGATATTATGAGGTAGGGTAGCTGGCCTTACATGTACGCCATACCCTCCTCCTTTCTCATCCCGGCTTGGGATTGCAATGGCAGAGTTATTGAAAACATTTTTGCACTATTTAAATTGATTTCCATTTTTTATTCATACGCTGTAACTTCCGGTAGACATTGAATTTTAGTAATCATGTCCAACGCGTTATGCTCCAAATAAAATACTAGTTTTTTTTAAAGGGGCATAGACACAGATTTGAAGTTTATATCCTTCAAAATATTTGGTAGAATTTTCTTTACGTACATGTTTGGTTTCAGACCGATAATCATTTTTAAACAAGTGCTAAAACTACGAATTCGGGCGTGTTTAATTGTTATACATACATGTACTTGAATTTTCAGGAACTAAAATTTATCCTTAACATTGAACAAAATTGGAAAATCTATTATGTATTAATTGAAGATATTAAAAAACTTTAATCAAGAAAAATCAAAATATAAATATTTGAAAGCAGAACCAATACAGAAGCGTTGTCATTTCGTGTTCAGTGATGTGTGCAGTGATAGCAAATCGAACACACCCGGTAAATCAAAGAGGTCGGACCGTCTTCACAGTGTTTGGTGTATCGTTATGGAAAAAATGCCCATGAATACATATTATGACTTTTTATATTAGTTCAAATCAGATCAAATCAAGTTGATGAAACAAGAACATCAGCAATCTCGTTTAAAGTCATCATTTCGTAAGTTCTATGGTCGATACAATGACCTTGTCAGCAAATACAGTCTATCATTAAGTCAAATGCTGCCCGCCTTTTTCATACAAATTGTTAGGCCATTATTTACACACTGAATTGTCGACGGATTTTCCCGTTATTTCCCGATCTTGACAAGGAGCACACGGCGGGTGTGACCGGTCGGCAGGGGATACTCACTCCTCCATAGCACTTTATCCCACCTCTGATGTCTTAGAGGTCCGTGCTTGCTCTGCTCCTATTTTGTAATGTTTAATGGACTTTTGAACTCGAATACTGTTCGTTTTCTCCACATATTTCAATCATTGAACTAAACTTATTTTTAAAATAAAAAGGGAAATTCAATATTGTACAAAACGGCAGTGCAAGAGTTATTTATTTTATTTATTTATTTATCTATTTATTTCCATTCTTGCTGACCAGACTGTGGGAAAGTAAAAAAAAAATCTTGAGATATTTCATTTCAGGCTCTAGTAAAAGTTTTGTGACACTGTATTTGATACTTCATCGGTGTGACCATATTCCTGGAACCTTTAGGTGTTTGAATGTTGTGACTATGAGAGATATAAGAACAAACAATCACCGTTACCTAAGAGGTGACTTCAGATTTAAAGAAAATGAATCAAAATGTGAGTATCTTTAACAGTTCGTAAAATGTAACATTAAATAGGAACTATTTTCTTATACTTTAGTGTTTTTTTCCATGGTAAGATATACCATTTGAACAGGAACGATACTTCATAAAAGGTATGTGCCTATTATGGCAATATGTGAGTACGGGACCCGTGTTGGAAATCGAAAAGTGTAGAAATGTAGGTTTTTCATGCAAAACGCTGTTTACAATGACATATATTTACCAAAAAGTAGATTACTGTCCAGTTTTTGTTCTTTCGGGATAAGGTTAGTTAATAAAAGCAAGTCAATCGGTAAGTCGGTTAAAAAATATGCGAAATGTAAAATGAAGTGTCTTATTGTTAGCTCACCTGAGCCGAAGGCTCAAGTCGGCTTTTCTGATCACATTTTGACCGGCGTCCGTCTGTCTCTCTGTAAACCTTTCACATTTTCGACTTCTCAAAAATTCACCGGGCCAATTTCAACCAAATCTGCAACAAAGTATCCTTAAGTAAAGGGGATTCAAACTTTATCAAATGAAGGGGCACACGTTCTTCGAAGGGGAGATAATTTCGAATTAGTGAAAATTAATGCTTTTTAAAAAAAATTTTCTCAAGAACCATTAGGCCAGAAAATATAAAACTTAAGTGGAAGCATCCTCAGATAAAGTACATTCAAGTTTCTTTAAATCAGGTTGGAGCCAAAATGTACGATCAAAGTTTTACATAGGAAAAATCTTCAAAAATCTGCTTCTCAAGAACAGCAAAGCCTTGATTGGTCATTTTTATATGGAAGCATCCTCAGGTAATGTAGAATTGAGTTTATTCAAATCATGACCCCCCGGGGTAGGGTGGGGCCACAATTGTTCAAATCGTGCCGCCCCCGCGGTGCCACATATAATTCAAACTTTTCAATATTGAACTGATTTCTGCTTTTTCTTAGCGTATGTGTTCAGGTGAGCGATGTGGCCCATGGGTCTCTTGTATTTCTAACTCTATATGAGTGCGGGTTTGATCTTATATCGATAACATCGGCCCTTGTATTGTTGAATTGTTGAACAATACTTAATTACACTTTGATTATTATATATATCCTTGTCATTCTCTAGGTTCGAAGGGGAAACACAACGGTGGCTCCAATGAATTGGTACGTCTTGTACAGTATATAAGTACATGTATGTATTCCTGTATATTGCCAGATCAAATAGTTTTATGTATCCGTGTATGCTGCACTTGTGGTATCTTCTATGTAGAATAAGAAAAGTGGCGAGAGTAACCTTTGAATTTCCATATGAACGATTCTACTCAACTCTTTGGTTATTACAGGTCACTGAAAATTCAATATCTGACCATGTAAGTCCCAACTAAAGTGATTGTTTTAGAATACATGATCCAGAGTGTTTTACATGTGCTCTACCCAAACATTTTTCTTAGACGTGACAAACACATTCATACACATTTGGTTGGTGGCGCTCTCTATTCTAAAAGAGTTGGTGGTTGGGAGAGTTGGACTTTAACATGAGATAGTAGCTGGCCCGTAGGAATAAATTCCAGTTTAGGGGAGGGGGCATTGTAAAGGAGAGAGAATGAATACATTTCGGGAAAAAAGAATACGAAAACGAAGGACCTCAGTCTTCTAAATTTCTTCTAAATAGGTTTTGTTTGTTTATTGTTGTTTAACGTTCCTCTCGAGAATTTTTCACTTATATGGAGACGCCACCACTTGCCGGTGGAAAGCTGCAAATTCTGACTTATACTCGGCACTCAGAGCCATTGAGCAGTGAGGGATCTATTTCGTGCCAGCACCTACTGCGACACGGGACCTCGGTTTATATGGTCTCATCCGAAGGACCGGTCTCCACGTCCCACCGTGAGATTCAACCCTGCGAAGTAAGGATCAACTCCTTACTCCACGACTGTAGAGCAAACGCTCTAACCACTGCGCCACGCGGGCGACTACAAGACGTATCCGAAGCTTTGCATAGAAAGATAAAGTATGAAGATAAACAAAAAGAAATGGCAAAGGAGACTGCTTGTCTTCCTGGATCACCTGATTATTCATGCTGTGGCGAATCACAATACAAACTGAGAGCAGACTTTGAAAAGATTAGGGGTGGGATAAGGTGTCATGGAGGAGTAAGCAGCCCTGTCAAACGGTTACACCAACCGTGAGCCTTTTCTTACCGGAATAATCGTGTTCAGTATTGGAAATTAATGGCCTAATAATTTGTTTGTAAAATCAGGCATCATTCGATCTAACGACAGGTTCTATTTGCAAACAAGTTACTAAAATATTTAAAAAAATAAACTTTTGTTGAAATTCTGGTTCAAAAATATGAGCCTTTGAACTGTTCATAACATTCCCATACCCACAGAATGTCATCACTAATTGTTCTTTTATAAGCGTCGTCGCTATTTCAGCAGCCTGTGACTGCTATAGGTAGAGGAGGATTGATAAATTGTATGTTATTTTACGTCCCATTCGAGAATTTTACACTCATATAGAGAGACGTCACCATATAGCGGTGACGGGCTTCAAATATACACCTATACTCGGCACTCAGGGCCATTAAGCAGTGAGGTCAGTAAGGGCCAACACCTTCAGTGACAGGGGACCTCGGTTCTTAAGGTCTCATCCAAAAGACCCTTGACTTTCAGTGTCGGGCGCTTGGCGAAGGAACAGTCACTATCTATGTTTACGAAGTTTTGAAGTGTCGCGGCGAACGAGAATCGAACCGGGCCTCCCAGTCACGAAGCGAACGCCCTATCACTAGGCTACTGTGACCGGTCTGGTAAGGGAGGAATGCCATTGACTGTTGGCTCTTTCTTGTTTTCACCACTGCCACCATGGTCTGACTAACTGCTACATGCTATCGGAAAGAGTGAATTTATGTATCGATATAATGTCTTCATTTTAAGTAGCATTGCCTTTCCAGATCTAAATTTATCATTTTTACTCGATGTAAAATAGCAAATTCTAAACTTCCAACTTCATCTACGGAGATCTTCTTTAAACAGAACAATATCGCCATTTTTGCTGGTCTATTTTGTAGAATTCTCTTTCCTTTCAGTTAATTATAAGCCGTTATTTCCCTTAGACCTGCAAGATATTCATCTCTCCATGTTTATCAGAATGTATTATGTCACTGACATTTTTTCCAGATAGTAAAGTTTTTATAGAGCTAATATATACATAAAGTGATAATACAAAGATGTTAACAATCTAAGTTAAAGTCAACATTTCGAAAACTGTATGGTGGATACAATGGCCTTGTTTGCAAATACAATGCGTCATTAGGTCGAATGATGACTGAAGTCTTTCATACAAATTGTTAGACCATAATTTTCACACTGAATTGTCTAGGAATGTTTTTGTTCATCCGATCATGACAAGGGGCACACGCGGGTGTCACCTGTCCACAGGAGATGCTAACTCCGCCATGACAACTGATCCCATCTCTGTTTTCAGAGATGCGTATTGGCTCTGGTCACAATTGGACTCTTGAGCAAAATGACAATTCATTACAGGAACATCTACTGGATTATCTTTGTAGAGGCATGTTAAAAATTGATATCTCAAATGTTCCTGATTTCTTCTCCATTTTTTTCTTCAAAAGTTGTTAAAGATTTCAGGGCAATTTCAGTAGAAATCAGTCCAAAGGATCTGTTCTGTTGTATTTAAAGAACAAGGTTCACTTAGGGCCTTTTTTTGGCCCTGTGAATTTCTGAAAAACTGAAACCGCTTAATTTTAGTTGACAATGCATTAAAAATATTATTTAAATCTTTGGTGATTGCGTATCTATCAAAAATGACGTAATTTTCTGGCTAGTCAGTGCATTATGACGTCATGAAATGCGTCATTTTATCATATCGTGAAAAATTCTACAAAAACAGCCGATTTTAAAAGATATTTTTCGTTATTTTATTTAGAGCGCAACCTCTGATCTAAAATATGCACTAATTAAATGATAGAACTGTTTCTCAGAATTACAAAACACGTTTTATTTTTTAGATCAGAGGGTGCGCTCATATTATTTTTCTTCTCTGAAAGTACTCAAATATACCCGTTTTCCTTAAAAATTCTAGAACATTGCAATTCCATAAAGCCTGTTTTCCAAGACCTGGACTTTAAGGAGAAAATCTTTAATAGGAAATGAAAGTACTAAGTCTCTACTTTATCTTGATGTTTAAAATGGAACATAAAGTCTTAGTCAATAGATTGGTATATCTACAGGGCCATTTTATGCCTAAAGTGAATCTAGATCTTTATATTCCGTATTCCACAGGTAATAGTTCTAGTTTAGGCAGTTTTATTTTTAAAGGACTAGTAGCACTAATCGAGTTTTAGAAAACGGCACGTTGATTGGTGTAAATTAAAACAGAGCAGGCATATTCTTTAATGGCTGATTCATTAAAAGTACATTATTAAGTTTGTATGTCACTGTACCAGAAAGTCCAGTAAAACGATCGAGGAATGTGACAATTAGAAGTAATATTTAGATCTGAGGATATATTTTTCCATCGTTGAATGTCTTCTTCAGTAAATTCTGCCTCCCATTATTTGGTGTCATAATGTTTGTAGAACAACTTTCTCCTCAAAGTAACACGCTGTAATTTGAAGCTTGTTGGTGAAAACTTTAAAAATTCTCTTCTATATTGGACATCTAACAGGCAAACTGTTTACATGCATACAATGAGCAGTTAGCCTTCTACCAAAATTTTAATTCCTGTCTCCATCATTTAGGTTCCGGGGTGGAAATGAACTAGTTTTTACACATAAAAAAATTATTCAGTAAATGGTAAATGTGCCACTTAATGTTTGTGTCTCCAGTGGTCATATCCAGGGGTGGAACCAAGTTGATCCAATATATATGTGTGTGTGTAGTGTAGGGTAGCGCCGCGAGAATTCCATCGGCATCGAAAGGAAGTTTTTTGACTTGCCTAGATAGCCGAGCAGTCTAGCGCGCTGTTCCTGTACTGATAGGAGACAGATTCTGTAGGTCGAGAGTTCACAACCCCGGGCTGGGGCGGAAGTGGGTATCCTTTTAATAGTGAATTCCTTGTGCTTTCTTTATATATATATATATATATATATATATATATATATATATATATATATATATATATATATATATATATATATATATATATATATATATATATATATATATATATATATATTGTATCTTTAAAACCTTTATTCTGTACATATCATACATCATACATTGTGTAAATGTAATCAACCTCCCTGGATTGCAAATCTCATCTTTAGAGTCAAAAGATCTAGTCCCAGGCGGGACCGACTTAATCATAGCCTAAGAGAAACGTAGGAAAATCAGATGAATGTCAAGGACGAGGGGTCTCTTTTAAAAAAATCAATATGATAAGGGCATTCGAAAGTTGGACAAAAGATGGATCAAACAGGGTCTTAATCTACCTTGGTCTTTTGTTTTGGTAAGGTGAGTTAAAGGTATTATTTACGGGAAAAAATACGTGTGGAAATAAAAACATTAATATTGTTTTTTCTTCTAGAACAATCTTTCTAAAGAGTATAGAAGATTTATGGCAGAGAGTTTCAATAGAGAAGGTATTTGTTGAATCCAATGTTTAAATTCAGCAGACTGCTGCTTTTTGGATCTTCTGAGTAAGAGGCTCGAGTATTATTTTGATGTTTAAAATGTATGTATCAAGAATTCTGACTTTCTCCCCAGAAAAAAATGGGCAAATGACAATCAATATAGCATATTTGGCCAGAGGAGATAAAACGATCATACACAGGTCCCAAATTGTGTTTGAGAGATAATTATATTTTCAATTTGAACTTGGCCATTAAGCAAATCACCTCAAAATCCATAGGGATGTGTATACTCTGTACCTAGCAGTTTTGACCATTGAAGTGAATTAATTCTTTCACAGTAAAATACATTACATTAAAAATATTTTCGTCGACAAATGTCCTTTGACTGAATGACTTCAAGATCTGTATACGTCATCGTTTAAGTGAAGTTTTTATGTTTAAGAAGGATCACCTTGCCTGAACGCACTATTATCATATTCCACCAACATAGAATATGTGATGTCTATATGTTAAATATATTTGAGTTATTGCATAACTATGAGCATTTTTCGCTCACGACGTTTGAGCTTAACCTCCTACCTATGGAATTTAATATTGAATTCCTCTGACCATCATTTCCTTATGTGTAACTTGTATAGATGATTGTTAAAAATTCTGCGTTCTTGAAGCATATAGATATTCATAAAAGGATACAGCACCGATCCCGACATTGACCTTCGCGTTTTAGACTGCAGATCTAGAATCAAGTAACAAAATTTTAAGGACACAGTAAACTTGAACAAAAAAGATTAACAGATGTTTTAATTACTGATCTTTGATTGAATGTTTATTTGGAAGATTGTTGTAGAAGATTTAGATACTTCTTTGAAGTTTTCTTTTATAACTTAACTGCATTTAAAATTGAGGTTTTGGAGTGGCAGAAATAAAACTTCAGGAAATGAAGAAAGGTGATAAGAGACAAATAAGTGTACAGTGTAAAATTGAACAGAAGTACATTTACGATGTGACAGAAGTGGGGGGATTTTTCATCTTTTACCAGCCCTTGTGGATGGTGCCTCAAGCTCGCGTCCTACTAGTAGGACTGACAAAAACGGAATTGTGGACGAACCCCTACAATATCCGAATGTTCCCACAGTTCAAGGCAATGCTGAAGGCCAAAGATGCGAGTGGCAAATTGGGTCAAGGTGAATTATTACATTTGAAAGGTGGAATAAATTTATCCTGTGATATTTTCTGATAACAAGAAAATTTAATTTGTTTTATAATCATTTAAAGGTTTCATTAAAAATAAGTAAAAGACGCATCTAAAATGTATATTAAGGATTGACTTAACTCTGTTTTACTCTAAACACAGCTGACGAAGCCCAGTTTACTGTGAAAATACCTCTGGACGAATGTGACGCCCTCGCAGGAAACTTTCAATGTGCAGTGGTAGCTAAGGTCAAAGGACATACAAAGCACCCAGAACATAAGCACTCGGAAGTAGAAATGGAGATAATTCGAGCTGTTTACAAACTGCAGAGAACAGCAGTATCAAAACCAACGGGAAAATGTAAGAAGAATACATAAGACGTTATACTAGTAGTTTATCTAATATCTCGTCTTTTCATCACTTCTCTCGTACCATTTAGTTTCTAATTATGCATAATTTATGTCTCGAATTTCCTTTGTTATTTGTTAAAACTTCTTTCATCTTAAGGTATAAAAGGTAAACCAAGCGCTGATGCATTTGTGTCGTTGACTGTAGAAAAGGGACAAAAAGTAGAAAAGGGACAAAAGGTAACTGGGAAGTCTGAGGGAATTAACATAAGTCCAACCGTCAACTGGATGATGGCTGCAGTAATGTTAGCGAGGATCATCTGTTAATCAGGGAATTTGAACATAAGTTCTTTATTTTTTTTTTGAGTGTATACCATCAAGTAAAAACTATAATCAAAACTTAATGTGTTGCAGTTCCTTAACTGTCGTCAGCTAATGAAGAAAGTAGATCTATTTTCAAAGCGTTTTTTTATCCGCTACATGTAAATATGAGTTAATTTTTATGCCCCCGTAATCGGAGATTCGGGGGCATATAGTTTTTGCCCTGTCCGTCTGTCTGTTTGTTCGCAAAAACGTTAACCTTGCCCATAACTTTTGATTGGTTGGAGCTATGGCTTTCATATTTCACATGTGTATTCCTTGTGACAAGACCTTTCTTTGGGTATCATCACATTTGACCTTTTGACCTTGGAATTTGACCCACTTATGCAAAATTTTATGAGACTTTAATTTAACCTTGGCCATAACATTTGAACGTTTGGTTCTAGGGCTTTCACATTTCATGAACATGTGTATCACTTGTGACAAGACCTTCCCTTGGGCACCATTTGACCTTGACTTTGACGTTTTACTTACTTTTAAAAAACTTTAACCTTTGCCACAACTTTTCAACAGTTGGTGCTAGGGCTTTCATATTTCACAAGTATATTCCCTGAGACAAGACCTTTCTTTGGGTACCAACATTTTTGATCTCTTGACCTGGAGTTTGACTTGCATTTGAGAAACTTTAACCTTCGCCATAAGCTGCCATACGGGGGCATCAGTGTTTCACAAACACATCTTGTTATGTTACATCTTGAATATAAGTTTTACATATTCGATAGATTAAATGAGACCATCTGTTTGGTTTTCATAGAAAAGCATCATAAAGTGGATCTGTTAGAAATTTGGCAAGAAAATACAGACTTAGCGTTTGTGGAGCTGTACTTTTGGCGTCATATACAAGATGAGACTGTTTAATGGTGGTCGTTTTGTCTTTTCTGTCGTTAGGAGTGACCATAAAACTAAACTCAATCAACATATATTACGTCATCATGAAACTTTCTGATAAGATTTGAATTAAAAAATTTGATAAAATTTGATAAACCCCCCCCCCCCCCCGGGAGATTTTAAGTTTTTTTTAAAGAATATATTTTTAAAATACATCTTGTGTTCGAATTTAAACATATACATGTATATGGAATCCGGAAAGGGCCACTTTGGAATCCAGATAGGGTCATGTAGTTCACTTACATGATGCGACGGTGCGATCGCGCGATAACGATGACGAGATGGCGTGATGATGCAATGACGAGGGTGTTGTAGTGCGATGAAGCAATAGTGAGCATTGCTTCATCGTCATCGTGCGATTGTCATCGCTATCGTACTGTCTTTCACTAATTAACAATTTTCAATACTTTCTATCTCCATTACTGGAACTCTTCAAATTAGAGGCGCGTTTGGTCGTCTGACTGGGACAACAATGACGTAGCGGAGAATTCAAAACATGCCGATCTCAGTCCAATTTTGAATCTTAAATGTATTTGTCATTCCAGTTAAAAAATAGAAGAACTTATAGGCATATGTGAGATTGCGAAAGCCCAGAATTTATCATCCATTGATAAACATTACGTTTCCGAGGCATGTATATTGTATTTAGAGACGAACCGTCAACACTAAGTCTTGTCAGCAACTTAAATTCCTGTGGTGAAAAAAAAATGGCGTTGTTGTTTCTACTTCTGATGCATGTTAAGTCCACAACAATACTGTGTCTCATTTGCATGTTTGTTAAGCATTTTTTCATCGACATTCAATATATTGTTTACATGTTGTTACGATTGACCCTGAAATCCCGCGAGATTTGTACATTTTCCGACTTTTTCACAAAAGAGTGCACCAAGAACTATGACTCTTCCTTGGTGGAAATAGAACGTATTGACAATGAGTACATGACTAATAAGTCATGTACTCATTGGCAATTGAAAATTGTTAATTAGTGAAAGACAGTACCATCGTCATTTGCATTACATGCACCCCTTCATCACTATCTCATCACCATCAGCGCTTTATCGCGTCACCAACCCACAGTTCGAATGCGCGATGGTGCGATAGTGAAAAACATGGCCCTATCAGGATTTCATAGGACAAATAGTTCTCTATCGCATTGTCAGGTTTGAGTCGATGATGCGATGGAACAATAGCACGACGACGCGATGATACGATGGTGATGACGATGAAGCAATGGCACGATGATGATGAAGCGAGATTCACCATCGCTGTTAGCACCATCGTCATCGCATCATCATCATCACACCAGCGTGTTGTCGCGCCATCGACCCAATAGTCAATGTGCAATGGTGTGCTACCTGGCCCTGTTGGGATTATATGCATGTATATAATCTATCGCTTGTGACATTCCATTTAGAATTAAGAACAGGTGGAAAATTTTCACTACTTTTATTGGAACAAGAGCTGCAAATGGCAGCCGAGGAATAACAAATCTAGAAGTCAAAGTTGACTGTCATGAGATGGTGATAATTCTGAAAAATTGTAAAATTGATTAAATGATGAATATTTCGGCTTACTGGTCGCTGATGTAAAATAGGTCACTCTGACATACTTGTGGATTGTCACACTTTATAAAGAGAAGGAAGGAGTGGGTGCAACCTCAATCTTCAAATTTGACAAACTAAGGAACAACATTGAAAAAAAAACCTTCCAAAAAATCATTCCTTCATTTATTTCGTTGCTTTTATGTAGAGATCCTTTAAGAAAAATACAGTTGATCTTTTTCAGCAAAAGACAATATTACAAGAATGTCGCTTCCCTTATATTTTAATTCCAAAATTGTGCTTACCTCCAATAAAAATGTAATAATCGCGACATATGAAAATATGCGAATAAAATAATTTAGATTCCAGTTATAAAAAAGTCAGTTTTATGTTTTTAGATTTATGTTGATGAAAATAATGCTTTATTTTAAAACATGAACAAATTCGAAAGAAGCTTTCAATTTGTTTTTCTTTTAAATTTACGAGTTCTTTTGTGTTGATCGATCCCGATATTTTTAGAAATATGTTCATCAGAAGGGGGTATTTAGAAAAAAAATCATAAAAATTATAAATCAATGTATCAATAAATACTCTGCATCAAGAAAATGTATGTTTAATGTGCTACGGAATGAACAATAGTGTCTAAAGGTCACGGCGCAAGGGTCACCCTAACTAGAAGTTTGCGTGGAAGACTTTTTTGTTGCCTTTTTATGGTGCAAATTTTCTCTCCTTTCCTCTTTCCTTTTTCTTTGTCACCATCAACTGGGTTTTCTCTTTCAAGATTATGACGCCTATAGATTATGTGGTTATTAAGCAGAACCCATACCGGCAGGAGTTTGAAGGGTATGGACTTTCAAGATTATGACGCATTCGTAACTACTCGGCCATTTTCCGAGAGAGAAATCGTTCACGGAAATTGCCGGTTAGTTACGATTGGATTATGTGCCTAAGCGGAACCTAGATACCGACAAAAGTTTGAAGGTATGGAAATCCGGAGAAATGCTTTCATGAAACACCTATGCCTGTCGCCTATCTGAGGATCTATAAAATTAGGCGGTGTAAAGACAGAGCTTTGTAATTTTAATAACTGATGAAATACAACTTCATTTTAAATCGGTTTCAAGTATGTAAAGACACCCTGCCCTGGTTTTCAGCACAGGCTGTCAGAATTTCTAATTTTAGCCATTACGCATTTTTACACTATGGCTGTGGAAAGGATTTTGATCTTGATGAAAATGATTTCCTTTAAAGTATTAATCACATGTTTTATTCTACAAGTGATAGTGAAGTATTATGTTATTAACTTTCAATTGATTTTGATGCAAAAGTAGCGCTTCATTGAATTGCATTCTGCATAAAAATGTAAAAAAAAAAAAATATAGTAATTTATTTCAGTCGGCGAAATATCTGTAAATTAAAACATGACCAGAGTTATCTCCTTTGTAGACTTTTGTGAGGAAGATTTTGATGCCTTCATAATGGTCGTACATACTGTGTTCGAAATGTTTCATTTCAAAATTTCATAACTATGAATCAATCTTTTTATCACTTTATTCCGTCCTGTAGGCGGTAATTCGTGCGCGGGCTGTTTTATCTCCAAAATTTTATGCCACGCATGATTCCCCTGATATTACAAGATTATGCGATAACCGACATGACAAAAATATATTATAGTGATGTATTTCAATTTTGTCCTTGTATTTCAAAACATTAAAAAATCCATGAATAATGTATGTTTTAAGAGACTTTATTGCATTATAAAGCTGCAGGGTTTACGTGTTTGTTAAATCATAAAGCCATAAAAATGTTAGCAGAAGAGAGTGTGTTAGAACGCTAGCTAAACAGTGATTAAAATGTCAAAAATCTGCGTAAACCCTGATTCCAATTGATATGCATTTTTTTTTTACAAAATCTAAAAAAAAAATGCCAAAACTGTCTAAAATAATTATTCTAATAATTTATTCTACATTGTATGTAAGGTGTCTATGGATTTGGAAGAAAGTCTATCTGCATTGAACTATGTTCACAAATTGTACTCCAAGAGAGTTGAATATTTTGTTTCTTCTCCCCCATAATTCACGTTTAATGTTACGCGAGAGTCCTTCGTGATTTGAACTGGACCTTCCCATACATCACTTCCGGAGTTTTTAAGCTGAGTCCATGTATCATTAACAGTTACCGCTACTGCTTTTGCATTGGGTACAGTTGCCTTAAAATTGACAGTCCCGTTGTTATTGGCGATTGTTAGCGGCTCATACAAATAACAGCCTTCTTTCCACTGAGCATATTGTTTGGGGAAAGGTTGCACTGCTTTAGGGGCTCGGGTACAGTTGATCAGGTAGTTATACACTCCCGGAAGTGTCTTACTTTCGTCGCTGACGGGGAGGGCGTAGATTTGTAACTTGTAATAGCCGGGGTTTGGCATCTGGACGATATAACTGACCACATCCCCCTGGTTTTGGGTGAAGAGGAGATTGGAATAGTCTTTGGTTGAGCTGCATTCTATCAGGTTACCAGTGACCTTGACCGGTTGACCCATGCGAAATTTGACCTCAATCTGGAAATGAAAATAATGGAGTTTAAAGGAAAAAAAAGAATATGTATGATTAATGAGCACTAAAGATATGTAGAGTGTTTTAATTAAAGCTACATGAATATGGTTTTGCTTTAGATAAATTTAAAAATATCTCTGTCAGTCGTGGGTGTTTTTGTTATCAGAATTTTTAACTTGAGATGTTTTTTCTTCTTTTTTCATTTTCTTTTATCAGCAAAGCTGTTGGAATCAACTCATCTAAGACTAATCACCAACAACCCTTTTAGATAACCACGCGTTTAATCATATTACTGACCAGTTCAACGCTTGCAAGCAGTTTTCCTTTCTGGACATAGCCGTGCTACAAGTGGCTCAATAAGATAACCCTTATCATAATTTCATTTCGCGCAAATGCACGGCAGATTTTCTACGGTATAATTCGACTCTTTTATATTATAGATCTTGTACCAGGAAGATTTACCACATAATTGAATAATTCCCTAACTTAGATAGCTAATCCCGATGTAATAGCATTTAACAAAAATATAATTTATTTACATTATAAATTATTTGATTTTTTTTATAACACAGTATAGATAACATATTCGGTTACGAAGATAAATCGGGAGTTATAGAATCAGTCAGCAACCAATTAAACAGCATTGCTAGCAGCACTTGTATTACTATCATGCAAAATTAACCCAATGTTAAATAAAGTTCATAGAACAGTTTATTCATGAGATTAAGTCCACGTGATTTATTTCTCATTAATATTCATAACTCTGTATAAATTTGCGAAATGTTAGAACTCTGTATGTTTATAAAAATGCTCCTATTAATCCGCGGAAGAACTGTGCCAACTTGTAAATATACACACATTTCATCAGCAAAATATAGACGCCAATTCTGTGTCTCTCCTTCTATAAAACATAACTTCCTCAAAACTTCCACTTGCATATCGATAATTATGCTTTTTCATACTCTCGGAACGGGCGCGATTGCACCCCTTTTTAAAAACATATTTTGAACACAAAATAATTATTCATTTCCTTAAAGTAATGCTGATTTTGTAAAAATGAAAAACATATGACTTCAAGAATGCACAAGAACACAACAAAATGGTAACTAATTATTCGAAAATTTCTGGCTGAGAGGAGAGGGTACTCCTCCCAGAGCACCCCCTCCTTTCCAAAAACCTGGCGGCAGCCTTGTATATGCGGAAGAAAATACCCGGTGTTAGGACGAATCACTCCTTGGGCAAAAGAACTGCATCCGAAATAGAATAGATGAAAATTCAAGTTGCGTGCTTTTGTATTTTTTAGAACTAAATTTAATTCTGTGGAATTCGATTCTACGATCATTACAGCTCTAATATGGCCGTTATGCAATTGAGCAGAATTGACTCTACTTTTCCATACTTGTTTTGCAACCAAAAATGGGGGGTTGGGGTTGCTAAATCATTCAGAATGCATAATGCAGGATTTTCATTATAGAAAACGAAACAATGAAACATAAATTAACGCTAAAACAGAAAGACATCTTTTGCTGTATCATACCAAACACTGAGTACTGTAAAAGCACAAATTTTCGTGGGGATAAAAGTTCTTTGAATTATGATCTAAAAAGGTCAGTTTCGTGGGCATTAAATTTCGTTGTTTAATGTATAATATACTGTATATAGTCATGTAAAAATTCCATGTGGGATTTAATTTAGTTGTTAAGTTTTCCATGAGTTCCATTTTCATGAATCATAATCGCCAAACAATACATACAAGGTTCATTGTGTCTGCTTCGTCTATAATTAGTCTGAACTCTGTGTGTTTTAGATTGACCCCTAAGGATTAGAAAACTTATCTCAGAAACATTTTGTTTAATATTCAGAGATAAGAATATGAATATAGACAATAAGTGACATCCTCAGATAATAAACATTATCGCTGTTTATTCTGTATCAGTTGGCGCTGAAACACATTTCGCGAAAATGGAAGTAAATCAAATATATGCCAGGTCAGAATGACTAGAAATGAAAATGTAATTCATGGTCTGCATCTGTCAGTTGTACATGTGGGCGAGACTTCGCCAGAGATCGCCCAAGATAGCGGTTTGTTTTGATTATCATGGACGACTCGACAGAGATATATTTTTCCTATACACAGAGATAATTCGGTCGTGATTTGTATCTTTTATCGCTGGAATCAGTTTAATGTTTTCAGAAATAGAACTCTTACAGTTTTTTGCCCTCCTCATCAGATCTTAAAGTTAGATGTTTTATAAAATGTTCTGTAATGTAGTCCTATATATCTGAAACCTTTCGTCCACACTACTGCATAGTTTGAGGATTCCGGCAAACTGTCAAGTTATAATTTGTTAACTGTACGGCTTATTATTGAAATATTGTGAGGTTTTTAAAATTTTATTTTTATTTATTTATTTTCATTGGAATACAGGTGCCATGTCTTATATAAACTGCCATTCTCGGCTGTAAATTTATTAAAATATTGTATAATTATTTATAAAATACTCTAAATCTTTCTTTTCTGCTACAGTGATCGGGAGTTCGAATCTCGGCCGACTGACCTAAGTCGATAAAAATGGGGTAACAACTGTTCCTTCGCCATGCGCTCGGCACTTTGAAGTGAAAGTTGCGGGTCCTTCGGATGAGACCTTAAAAACCGAGGCCCCGTGTCAAGGCAGACGTTGGCACGATAAAGAACCCAAACTGCTCAATGGCCTTGAGTGCCGAGTAAAGGTCAAAATTTTAAGCCCTTCACCGGTATATGGTGACGTCTCTATATGAGTGAAAAATTCTCGAATGGGACGTAAAACAACAATCAATCAATCAATCAATCTTTTCTGCTACATGTATCATCACAGGCGCCTTAAGTGTGGATCGATAACCCCCTCCCCCTTTTAAATAAAAAAATGTAAGAGCTTATAATTTCTCAAAAATATAAAAGTTTCCCCGTCAATCACATTCTTATGTCGTTCTATGAAAGCAGAATTTACTTTTTCTTAGTTTAGAGAATGGCCTTTTACGGTATGAATCAAAAATTACAAACAAACAGGGGGGGGGGGGGGTCCCTGCTTCGCGACATATTTCCAAGGTAATAACAGTGTTACCTATCATAACTTTGCAAGCACTCTGTCAGGGAGATGTTCTTCTACTAGTCTCTTTAACTTAAACCCCATCATTAGTGTTTTATATGCCGTAATCGGACGATTTATTAATCGGATACAGAAAATTTTCTCCATTGAATGCTTTGAAGGAGGTTTTAGAGTTTGCAGATCTGTTTCGCTTTATTTGATTGGTTAACAGTGATGCAGTTTAAATCTTTGACCAATCAGATTAAGCGAAACAGATCTGCAAACTCCCAAACCTTCTTCAAAGCAGTCAATGGAAAAAAAAAAAATCTAGCCCTTTAAAAAGAAGATTTGTTTGTTTATATCTTTTTAAAAAAAAAAATTAGTTTACATTCAAGACAAAGACGGTAATGAATATCGTGAAAGGATTGGAATTCATACAATTTGTGTGAATGTAGTGTTATATAGGAGGGCGAATGGCCCCTCTTTGACATCACTCAGTTATCATGTAAATTTTGAATTTACTAGGGGGAGGTAAATGCAAAATTTACAACATGATTACTAGTTAGCCTTCCCCTAGTTAATTCAAAATTTACAACATGATACAGTGTAGAAATAAAACAAAAATCCAATTTTCTTGTTTCGTGCATAAACACTTCAGTAAATGTTATTGCCGACATTCTTTGCGGTGACCTGATAAAATTTGGCTATGTAATCCTTTGTACATAGCAATTTTAATATTTGTTTGATAGCATGAATATTGAAGGCAATTATTTAAATCAACATGAGGTACTCATAGCTATATAATATCAAAGAAAGCCTTAAAGTATGCTTCATGGTAGTATTCTGCCGATGAAACCGGAGGGGAGTCACGGGACTATAGATTTCCTCCTTGTCTGTCTGTTAGTCTGTCCTACTTGATTTTCCGCACTTTTTTCCTAAACACTATCAGATATTGTGCTAATTTTTGGTACGTGAGTTTACCTTGATGAGTTACAGATCAAGTTTCATTTTGTTATACTTCGATGATTTTTGGCGGAATTGCGGCTTAAAAAAAAAAAAAAATTAAGGGAAACCACTTACACTTGCCTGTAGGGGACAAGTATTGCATATACAACTCTCAGAATGCTTGTTAAAGACTAAATTTACAATAATAGTTAACAATACATTTCTTTGCTTTGAATTCGATAATGTTGCCCAAATTCTCTATATGTTGATCCATCTCCCCATAAAATCGTGTAATCTCTTAAAAAATATGGCGGCATAGATCACCCCCCTTTTTTTAGTCCCCTACCGGTGAAACCGGAGGGGAATATAGGTTTTCTCTGAGTCTGTCCGTCCGTCTGTCTGTCTGTCTAGCTGTCTGTCTGTCCGTCTGTCTGTCTGTCTATCCCTCTGTCTGTCAGTCTGTCCCACTTGGTTTTCCGCATTTTTTTCCTAAACGCTTGCAGATATTGAGCTGATTTTTGGTATGTGAGTGTATCTTGATGGGTTACACATCAAGATTTCAATTCGTTCCGCTTCTTTGATTTTTGACGGAATTACGGCCTTTTCAATTTTTAGGGGTTTTCCGCAATTTTCTTCTAAACGCTTTTAGATATTGAGCTGATTTTTAGTAAATCACTTTACCTAGATTAGTTATAGGTCAAGTTTGCATTTCATTCTGCTTCATTGATTTTTGACGGATTTATGGCATTTTCAATTCTTAACGGGAACCAGATTACACTTGCCGGTAGGGGACTAGTATTGCTAATGCAATACTCTCAGAATGCTTGTTCTATTGCACAGGAAACTCTTCTGCGTGGATTGCTTTACTGCAAGGATTTGTAGGGAATTTGAATATCAAAAGTTCAATGTCTTTTCTATTTAGGATTTTCACTGTGAGTCAATAATTTCTGTGTGGGCGGGGGTCAAGTGTTTGGTTTCAACCTTTCGCTTTGATACGACTTTCTTACATAGATTAAGTAGCCAAAAGGAAATGTTGATTCATTGTGCAACACTGCACAATGTCTGAATTGGTTGAGAGATCTCATATATACGACTACAACAAAATACTGGAATTAACTATTGCACTCAATCCTTACAAAAAAATTTCCTCAATAGCTAGCCAGAAGAAGAATGTTCACGTGTGGCAAAATATATAGGAAGTGCACGATTGAGAGGAAGCGAAAAATGCCAACAATTGCGCCCCTGTTATTTTCGTGATTAGAAATCTGTCAAACAACTGTATTCCTTGTGTCTTCTGATGAGGAAAAAATTCGGATCTCTTCTCTTTTTTTATCATTATTATGGAGCTCTATTTCAACTCCGACATCACTTTCCAGACGAGGTTTGACGAGTAAAGAACCGTATGATTATAAGGTACAATTATAAATAAAACTTCAAAGGGCCGACTAGAAGATGCGAACTAAATCGTTTTTTATAGAATCACTTGTGTCTCAAATGAAAGGAACTCGAAAATGAGCGGCGGAGCAGGGCATTAATTATAGTGCGATGCCTGCTATATCATGCTGATGCCGCAAGATTTAACTGTGTAAAAATAGCTATCATTTTAATTAAAACACTAAGATTGTTGCATAAGACGATAGTTAGCAAGATTTAGGAAGGTTTTACAAGACTCTCAGCTGTTAACAACAAATAAATTAACGATAAGCGCGAGTGTATCTGATGGCTGGCGGGAACTCCGAGGTTTCCCGCCGCAGATCTCACTAAATCAAGGCGATATATCACTTATAACCTCGTAAACGAAATGTCTGTTCCGAATCTCTCTCTCTCTCTCTCTCTCTCTCTCTCTCTCTCTCTCTCAAAGGAGGTTTTTCAATATATATATATGTAACATTCTGCCTGAATTTGAGGGAGTCCCACACAAAAATGACACATGTGATCCCCAGTTTAATATTACCTGTCAATATCGCTGTTTGGTTTCTAAACAAGTTATTGATCTTTCAATACACATCCCCATCTGTCGTTATTAAATTAAACAAATAAAATCGACCAAAAGCCGAGGACCTTTAAACATGGGTGAGAAAGTTAATTTTTTTTCCAGACGGATATTCATATTAAAATGATGTTTTTTTTTTAAAAAAAATTCCAATATCATTTCTAAATTAACATCTGCATTTTGCAGGTCTAAACGATTTTTTACTGTGTAAATAAAATTTAATTTTTCTCTGCATTGCGCAAAATTTATTCTACAAATGTGATTATTAAAATTAGAACCAAAAGTAATTATTACATAGACGTACCTCATTGGTGTCTGCAGTGATTTCTGGATCATTGTGACTGAGTGTACTCAGTTTGAACTCGGAAAATTTCGGCTGAGGGCCCAAGTACCCGCGGGGAAGCTCTGGCTTAGACATCCTGACAAACAGACGCACAGAGTGAACACTAAAATAAGGGGAATAGGGAACCGCACACGGTCGGACGACAAGGAGACGGCTGGAGAAGTAGACGTCGACTAACAAGCTCTCGACACAGAGGATTTTTAAACCCGTTCAAGTGGGGAACCAATGAGAGGAGGGGGCGATAAGAAGGGGCTCCTATCACTCATTGAAATCGACATGCTTTTGACAGGTGGATCTAGACGGGTGTCAATCCATTTTAAAAGAATTATACTTTTTGATTATATAGTACATCATTATTCTTTTGAAATAAATTAGTATATAATTAACATTTTATACCAAATTTGAAGAGCTACATGTACTTCTTTACCTACGTTATGTGTATTTATAAAAGATGCTTGAATAAACAGTGGTAGATGTGTGACTCATCGATTCCTTTTGATAAAGTCCCAGTGGGAGCTACAAGAGTGACATGCTTAAAAATCATTTATTTTACTCTAAATGAAACATCTTATCTTTATTTTTGGCGTCGACATCTTTAAATTTTTGTATATGAGAAAGATGGATGCTTTCCTTGAAAAATCGGTTTAGCTGACATTTTCCTTATCTAGTGGCAAGGCCATGGTTGGATCCGCGCCTTTCAAGGTTGCACGGATGCAACCCAAGAGTATTTAATTCAATATTTCCCATTCTAAGTTCAAGTATCGAAAAATGCCATGGAAAACTACAAATATATTATGTTGTTTTGGTACATATGTAATTGTCAGGGAAAAGTTCTCGTGGTTTTTTCTGAACCGAACATGAAAAGGATTTGAGAAGTAGCATTAGAGTGGTTTCTATGGCAACTTACAAATCTTGCTTTTTCATCACAGATCATTGTGCAATTATAAATTACACATCCTGGCTTAGTCTCACAAACTGGAGATGGTTGATCGGAGAATAATAAACATTTCTGTTTACCGATCTGTTTTATACAGCAGTGCCAGCAATATCACATGCGAACGCTGTGTAACTGTACGCACATTGGGCGGATCTAATAATCATCGTGTTAAAAAGATCATCTTGGTCATACCGGTATTCAAAACATAACAAACGTGTTCAATGTGTCATGTCAAATATCCGTCATGGTAGACAATTATTATCATAGACAAGTAGAATAAATAGCCTATTTTTTAAAAAAAAAATCCAAGAAAAATTAACAACCCATATTTGCGAGGGTGGATTGGGTACCTACTCTTATCTGTGGAATCCGGATAGGGCCATGTAGTTTAATATCGCATCATCGATGTTTGTATCGTTATAGCGTGATGACGATGGAGCGATGGCGCGACAATGCAATAACGATGACGATGGCACGATGAAGTGATAGCACGATGATGCGATAGCGTTGACACGATGAAGCGATATTCACTATCGCTCCATCTTGCTATCGCACCATCGTCATCGCATCATCGTCATCATGCTATCGCACCGTCACGTCATCGTGCCATTGCTTCATCGTCATCGCGCTATCGCTTCTTCGTGCCATCGCATTATTGTCATCGCATTGTCGCTCCATATCACCATAGTCATCGCGCTATCACACCATAGCTTCATCGTCATTGCACCATCGCTTCATCGTCATCGCAATATAGCGTTATCGCACTATCGGCCCAAACCTCAATAGTGCGATGATGTGATAGTGAACTACATGGCCCTATCCGGATTCCATACAAACGATGTTGAGACATTACAAACGCTAAATATATTCATGAGTACTTGAGCCAACTTTCAGCTTGATGAATTACAGATCGAGTTTGCATTTTGTTCCACTACGTTGAATTTTGAATTGTGGCCTTTTTGGTTTTTAAGGGGAGCCAGATTACAGTTGTCGGATTTTATGTGATTACATTTGTATGATGTTTACAAAAATCATTTTTTACTCTGAAAAAATGCAAGGGGGAAGGGGTGTCCAGATACCCCCACTCCCCGTTACAGTGTAGATCTGCGCATTGGAGTTTGTAACTACATGGCAGCTAGGGCGGCATATTGTCAAAAATATATGCTTAGTGTTTTGTTTAGAAATATAAAATGTTGGCCCTAAAATTATTATTTAAACAAACTTTTAAAATTTGCCGAATCAGTTATTGAGAAATTCAAGTGCTCATTATCCTCAACAACGGAGAATTTTGATTTATTGAATGTTTACTTTAAACAGGTCATCAAAGGCTTTACACGGGGGCCAGAAATACATAACCAAGTTTTATTTAATTTTTATGCTTTTATGTATTTGTTTGGCTTGTCGTAAAGAGAAATGGTCTCCTTGGAGATCATTGTATGTTTACAAGTAAACACCCACACACATGTTTGTCTGATCTCCCATAAAAACTTGTTTCTTCTGAAAACAAATTCCAGGATATGCAATGCTAACGTAAGCAAAAATCACAACAGTTTTTAACGATATTTTAGGCAGTTTACAATGACTGAATAAGTCATAAGTTTGAATAAAAGGCAGAACAGAATAAACTGAGGAATAAACGGGGGGAAATGGAACAATATTCTTTATATATACATGTTCACTTTGACTTATTTTATGAGGAGGTTAATTTATGATCGAGACTTATCTTTCTTGTGTGAAGATTAATACTCAGTATAGGTCAATGTTACCAAACGATTTACTAAGGCACCATAACAATCATCGATTTCTGGAGACTATTGACGAAGATTCATTTTATGATCCAGTTTAGTTTGTTTAATGACACAATGCTAGCCCCGCCCTCTCACAAACAATGTACGGATTTTGAGAGCCATGTCTAGAGATAACAGACCTGGCCACAATGACTCCTCCCTTCCTACTGATAAGTAAAGGAGAGAAAGAGAAATAGAAACCTTTTGACCCCCCTATGGAACATATTGAAGTACAAGTGTCTATGTTCGATATAGAAATTCTATGTGCCTGAATCATTAGCCAGATTTAGATAACAAACTCAACAAATTGAAAGCGATAAACAATCTGAAAATTCCAAGGTTACGATTATTGAGACTACAGAAAATACCGGTACATTATCTTTTGGAGAAATAATTAGTTTGAAGTCTCAAGTTGAAGATTTCAAGTTTTAAAATTTGTGGGTTTAAATTAAAATCATAAAGTATAAAAAAAAACCCGTAACTTTATTATTTTATTATTTATAGACACAGTACCTTCAGATTAGTTACGTCATTAGTCAATAGATAGATAGATAGATAAAGTGCTAACTGCACTGTCATTAATCACTGATCACCTATCTTTGGCTAAAGATAATGATTCAGCGTGAAACTAGTGTAATCTGAGTCAACCCAGCTCTTCAATTCACATTTGTTCTCTTTTCTAATATTCAGGATACAAATTTTAATTATAAAGTGTATTAGTCTGCAAATTATTTATTTACTTATCACCGACAAGTCTACCTGACCAGTAAAAACTTTAAAAAGTATTTTTTATATTATACATTTAAAATCTCGCATAATTCTTTCAGGACTAGCAAAACATTATTCACAGTGATTTATGAATAGTAAATAATCAAAGGGGAATAACTTCTTTTTCAAAATAGCATAAAATCAGTAGAGTGCCGAATATTTTCCAAGTTTATTTTTGCGAAACTATTCTTTCCAATAAATGATAAAGTTTTCTTAAAAAGAACAGGATTTTTTTAATTTATCGGTGAAAAAGTGCATTTTTGAATACATAAATGCAGATATATTCTAGCGAAAATGAAATAAGGCGAAATATACATGTATTAGATATTCCTTGATGATTTACAATAATTTTTTGATCAGTTATAAGTAAATATTCTATTATAGTGACATGTGTATATATACAAAAAAAAAAACAAAAAAACAATAGAAGTTACAACAGAAATAGATTTACATTACACCCGGCCCATTGAACTTATGTCACCTTAGCATATATAACATACATTTTGCATTTGCATTTTCAAAAGAGAGGGCGCATGAAATTAATTTGATTTGTACAAATATTTTTATCTTACTGAAAAGAATAAATTTAATAATTTGGCAGTCAGACTTTGATTATTTTTCATTAAAGTGTTTAAATTATCAGCTAGATGTACATTTCTATTTAAACTAACATTATGAAATAAAGTTTCTCCGATGTTTTCGAAAAACTTGGCGATGGAATAAGAAATGTTTTTTACCCTCTACCGATCTGTCTTCACATAAAACTACGCTATTACATTGCGTTCTTGTTTGTTCATATTCATTGTTACGTAGGGTTCCAGTTCGAAATTATGTTTAAAAAGTCACAAATGTTCTCAATTTAGGTAAAAACAATATTTTCAATTTCCATTCTCATAGCTTAAACAATTTACATTTGGCTTGATTTATATCACAAATACGAAGGTAGTCATAATGAGAGCGCGTATCTAGTTTATATAGAATTTCCTTCATTTGAGAACACCATGTTCCGTTATTTTGATGGCTCCATATGAAGACTTTTTTGGTAAGACGGTCGTCATCCATTTGAGTCAATCTATTCCATCTTCTGATCATGCACATCCAGCGTCTCTGTATCCGTGCTAACCATCCAACTTCACTATTCAATGCGATTGAGGGAGCATATCCATGTAGTCCTAAAAAGTATCAAATAGCACGATATTGTACAACAAGAGAATGATATTTTGAATCCCGAAACCTCGGAATAATAATCTAAGATAGGAAGCACACAAGACTGAAAAAGTAATAACTTGTACATGTACTACTGCTTTGAATGGTGTTCAGTCGTGTCATAAATGACTGATTACATATTCGAATAAAACTTTTCTTTGAAAGGTAACGTATCGATAGTTAACTTTTCATCAAATTGAATTTTTTAAAAATATTTATTCTCGTGGATTAAAATAAAATGCATTCCACCTGCCTTAGAGATGTGCTAACTCTTCAGAGGCCATGTGACCCATAATTAATGAATATATTCAATTTTTTTAGCTTTCATTTGAAGCACATAGGTGTCTACATCATACAACCTCAAATATGTTAAATATTTGTTGAATTTATCTCTAGTACAATATATTATAACAGGTTTACATGTACGTCATATTTTCCATCGAGTGGAATTTCACTTTTCTGTGGCATCATAAATTATTCAAT